AAATATTTTTGTACATATGGATCCTTTCTCTCTGTCTTTGATCTTTTTGAATCATATGTCTGGCTTGGGTGGATTAAGTCAAGTCAAGAAGTATTTATTAAGATCTTACTATGTAGCAGGATTCTGCTAATTGCTGAGAATACAAATACAAGCAGAAAGAAAGACAATCTCTCCCCACAAGGAGATGTGAATGATTTTCTATTTGTCTGAAAACAAAAAAACAAAAAACAAGATTCAGCAGCATAATAAGTCCTCCACAAGGTCCTTCTTGATCCTCCCATATGTTAATGCTTATCCTCTAAAGAAACCACTTTTTATTTATTTTGTATGCATATTTACTTATCTGTGTACATATCATATCTCTCTATTAGACTGCAGCTCTTTTTGGTTAGGAACTGTCTGACTTTTGTCTTTGAATCCACAGGACCTAGCATAGCACTGTTTAATAAATCCTTGAGAAATTGGTAAACAAAATGAAAGTTATACAGGAGAATTATGAAAAAAGAGTCAACAGTTTGGAAAAAGAAGCACAAAAATTGACTGAAGAAAATAATTCTTTAAAAAATAGAATAGGCCAAATGGAAAAAAAAAGTCCACTGAAGAAAACAACTCCTTTAGAAGTAGAATTGGCCAAACAGAAGAGGAGGTACAAAAGGTAACTGAAGAAAATAATGTGTTAAAAATCAGACTTGGGCAAATGAAAACTAGTGACTCTATGAGGCATCAAGAATCAGTCAAATAAAATCAAAAGAATGAAAAGAAATAGATGAAAATGTAAAATACCCCATTGGAAAAACAACTGACCTGGAAAATAGATCCAAAATTTAAGAATTTTTGGACTACCTGAAAACCATGATCAATAAAAAGAGTCTGGAAAGCATCTTTAGATAAATTATCAGGGAAATCTGTTTTGATACCCTAAACTAGAGAAAAAAATATTCATTGAAAGAATCCAATGAACACCTCCTGAAAGAAATATCAAAATGAAAACTCCAAGGAATAATGTAGCCAAATTCTAGAACTATCAGGTCAAGGAGAAAATACTGTAAGCAACCAGAAAGAAACATTATCATCACTATTATTCAATATTGTACTAGAAATATTAGTGTAGCAATTAGAGAAGAAAAAGAAATTGGAGGGATTAGAATATGCAATGAAGAAACAAAACTATCACTTTTTGTAGATGATATATTGGTCTGCTTAGAGAATCCTAGGGAATAAACTAAAAAAGTACTTGAAATAATTAATAACTTTAGCAAAGTTGCAGGATATAAAATGAACACACATAAATTATTAGCATTTCTATTTATTACCAACAAAGCTCAGCAGCAGTAGACAGAAAGAGAAATTCCATTTAAAATAATTGTAGACTTTATAAAATATTTGGGAGTCTAATTGCCAAGGCAAACTCAGGAGGTATATAAACAGAATTACAAAACACTTTTAGCACAAATAAAGTCAGATCTAAACAATTGGAAAAATATCAATTATTCAAGGATAGGCCAAGTAATATAGTAAAAATGAGAATTCTACTGAAACTAATTTACTTATTCAATGTCATCCCAATCAAACTACCAAAAATTATTTTATAGAGCTAGAAAAATAATAATAAAATTCATCTGGAAAAACAAAAGATCAAGAATAGCGAGGAAATTAATGAAAAAATGCAAAGGAAGGTAGCTTAAGTATACTAGATCTAAAACTATATTATAAAGCAGCAATCATCAAAACTATTTGGTAATGCCTAAGAAATGGAGTGGTGGATTAATGGAATGTATTAGGTAAACAAGACACAGTAGTAAATGACTATATTAATCTACTGTTTCATAAACCCAAAGACTCCAGCTTCTGGGATGAGAACTCACTGTATGATGAAAACTACTGAAAAACTGGAAAATAGCATGGCAGAAACTAGACATAAATCAACATCTTACACTATATACCAAGATAAGGTCAAAATGGGTAACATGATTTAGACATAAAGGGTGATACCATAAGCAATTAGGAGAGCAAGGAATAATTTACTTGTCAGATCTATGGAGAAGGGAAGAATTTATGACAAAACAAGAGATATAGGACATTATGAAATATAAATTGGATAATTTTATAACATCAAATTAAAAAGTTTTTGCACAAACAAAACCAATGCAACCAAGATTAAAAAGGAAAGTAGAGCTGGGCAACAATCTTTATAGCAAGTGCCTCTAATAAAAGCCTCATTTCTCAAACATATCAAGAATTCAGTCAAATTTATGTGAAGACAAGCCATTCTCCAATTGATAAATGGTCAAAGGCAGTTTTCAGATGAAAAAATTAAAGGTATCTATAATCATATGAAAAATGTTCTAAACTGCTATGGGAAGAAATGCAAATTAAAACAAGTATGACGTACCACCTCACACCTATAAGATTGACTAATATGACAAAAAAGGGAAATGATAAATGTTGTAGAAAATAGGGGAAAATTGAGACACTAATGCCTTGGTGGTGGAGTTCTGAACTGATCCAAACACTCTGGAGAGCAATTTGGAACTATGCCCAAAGGGTTATAAAATGGTGCATACCCTTTGATTCAGCAATACCACTACTGGGTCTGTATCCCAAAGAGATGATAAAATTAGGAAAAGTACCTACATGTACAAAAATATTTATAGCAGCTCTTTTTGTGGTGGCAAAGAATTGGAAGTTAAGGGAATGCCTATCAATTGGGAAATGGCTAAACAAGTTGAGGTATATGAATGTAATGATGGTGTTATAAGAAATTATGAGCAAGCAGATTTTAGAAAAACCTGGAAAGACTTACATGAACTGATGCTGAGTGAAGTGAACAGAACCAGGACAACATTGTATACAGTAACAGCAACACTGTGTGATGATCAACTATGATTGACTTAGCTCTTCTGAACAATTTGATGATCCAAGATAATTCCAAAAGATTCATGATGGAAAATGCTATCCACATCCAGAGAAAGAACTGTGGAGTCTGAATGCAGATTGAAGCATACTATTTTCACTTGTGTGTGTGTATGTGTGTGTGTGTGTGTATGTGTGTATCTTTTCCCTTTTGTTCTATTTCTTCTTTTACTATATGACTAATGAGGAAATATATTTACATGGTTGCATATGTATAACCTGTATCATACTGCTTGCTATCTTGGGGAGGGAAGTTGGGAGGGAAGGACAAAAAAATTGGAATTCAAAATATCATTAAAAAATGAATGTTGAAAACTATCTTCCATGTAATTGGGGAAAAATGTTAAAGAAAATAATTATCTTCCATGATCATTACAGGGAAAATTCCTAGAGGAAATATTCTGCCCACCCCAAATTAATGCAGACACTAAATTCCTTTCAATATGAGTATCTTTGTGGTCTCCATATTCTGTGTGTAAGAGAGAGACAGAGAGACAGAGAGAGAGGCAGGAATAGAGAGACAGAGAGACAGAGAAAAACAGAGACAGAGACAGAGACAGAGAGAGACTCAGAGACAGAGACAGATATAGAGAGACAGAGACAGAGAGTGAGAGAGACAGAGAGAGGGACAGAGGGACAGAGAGAGACAGAGAGACAGTGAGACTGAGACAGAGAAAGAGAGAGGGAGGGAAGGAGAGAGAGCTCTTAACTTATTGATGGTAAGTAGCACAACCATTTTGATTTACTTTTCATGAACACTGACATTTTTACTGATCCTTCATTACATGTTTAATGCTTCTTCTGACTAGTATCCTATATAGTTGCAGACTCTATGGTAATGGACAGAGATGTGAATATGGTATGATATAGAATCAGATGACCTCCATTCAAGTCCTGATTCTCTCCACTTATTAACTGTGGGACCATAGGGAAATCATTTTATTTCTCTGAGCCTCAAGTTCTTTATCTCTAAAACAGGAGTAATATTGGAAAGGGTTCTTACAATGATCAAATGAGGGTGAGGACCTTATAACCTTTAAAGTGCTATATCTATCCACAAATATTATGATATAGATTTTAACTGTTATTAACCTATTCAAGATGACTTTCGCCAGCAAAGGATGCTGACTGTGAATGCAAAATAGACTTAATATTACTGATGCATGTGACTAAGGAATCCATACCTTTAGACTTCTAAACTCAGTATAAATAATTTACCCTACCAGTCACAAAGAGAATACCACTGCAGAGGAAACTAGATGTAATAGAGTATAGAGTCTTGGACTTGGAGTTAGCAAGGGGTTCAAAAACTGCTTCAGATTTGTACTAAGCTATATCACCTTGGGTAAGTCACTGAATCTTTCTCACACTCTGTTTTCCCACGTGCAAAATAGGAATAATAACAGCACTATAAGGTTATTGGGAGGATCAAATGAGATACTGTATGTAAATTGCTTTGTGAACCTTACTACTCTATATAAATGCTAGCTACTGTGGCTATTTTTATATAGGCAGAAGGATTCACGAGGCTAATCTTTTTTGATGATTAAGGAAAAAGTATAAAATTCAGGGCCTGAAATCTCTCAAAATTTGATATTGTTACCTTTATTTTTGATGACAAAACACTGTAGAAACAGGTAGTTAAGTGTCTATTTAACTGGCAAAATGAGAGATTCAAAATACATTCTTTTAAAGCACAATAAGCATTTTTATATATCATTTTATATTTGTTTGGTGATTTGGTATTTTTTCAAACTATCCAACTATTATTTATGTTAATGAATTCATAATTTTTTAATGTTGGAAGGGACATTTAAGACCATCTAGTACAACTCCTTAATTTTAATGATGACAAAAGTGAGGTATTTATAAATGAAGTGACTTGTCCAAGGTTATTCAACTGTTTAGTAGTAATGTTTTGACTGGGCCCCTGTTCTCTTAATTTTTACTCTATTGAACTTTCCACCATAGCACGTCACTTTTGATTCATAGATACTCCTGAAGGATGAGAACACCTGGACACACTCAATATGCTCTATTTATGTCTCCATTCTGATCACAGCCTTGTCAATACAAGGGACACTGAATTTAGTAAATTTCCTTTAATGAATATTTGTTTCAAATAGAGGTATAAAGTCATGTTCCCAACCCCAAACCACCTATTAAATTAAATCCTTGTAACTTCAAAACATTTTGAAGTAACTTCATTTGGACTTGACACATGGCTATATTGCAACATTCGAGATTAAAAATATACATATATATTGCAAGAAGCAAATGACAAACATTTCATGAGTACAAAACTAGCTATAAAAATGACATCATTTACAAATAAATCCACATTAGTATCAGAAATGAGCAAAGCATTTTTGATATAAAAATTTCCATATCAAGCACCTTTTTTTTGCAATTTAATTACCCATGCAGAGGTAAAATGTTTTCATGCATTCTGTATCTCCCTTACATGTGATTTATGACTCAAGCTTTTTAAAGGGATAACATTTCAAGATTCTAAGATTTACATTGAATTGAATTGGCTTCATTTGGCAAATACTTATGTTGTATGGTGTCTGAAATAAAGAGCTAACCAACACATTCACTTTGCAAATGAATTTTAGAAACTTCACCTGTAGTGCCAAAATATCCTAATCATCCAAATTTTCAGGAAATAGAAGAACATGATGGTGGCATTGGCATTTACCCACTATGCTGGATGCTGTTGGCATTAAGACCTGACAAAAATTTGCAAAGTTTGAAGATGCAATGAACTCTGCTAAACTGCATGTGCAAAGTACATACAGTTCATTTCCCTCTCACTATCCACATCCTTCCACAAACACAACTATTCATTCTTTTTTTAAAAAAACAATCTAATTTCATTTATATTTCTCATTTACAAGAAATAGTAAAATTTACATTCTGAATTGTTCCCTGCTTATTCTGCATGGGCTCATGGTTCAGTTTGTAAAGGGTTCTAAAATCAAAGTGGCTTTCACAATTTTTTCCTCAAAAGTTCAACTGTTGATTTAGAGTTGTATGAAGTCCGGTTTTTGGAGTATCACTGAGGACGGCCTTCTCTTGACCTTCTTCTTGTTCCTGAATGAGAGAAACAAAAGGTACTTTGTAAATCTGCACAAGTCAGCTAACTCTAATCATACGATAACCCATTTGTAACAAATCATTCTGAAGTGACAGGAAATCATTTCCATAGGAGAGAACATCAAGGTGTATGTTCTAGGGAATGAGTCATATTAATAATCAGAGCAAATAAATGAAGATGTATTCATGAGCTTTGTTTTAGAAATGTTTTGTATAAATTTTTTTCTTAGTAATTTGATTCATTTACATTCTAGAAGCTGGTGATTAAAAATAATTCTATGGTAAATTTTTTGGCAAGACTAGGGCTCCACAATATCCATTTTATTAGATCTTTTGGGTGCATATAAATGGTCAATTTTTAGGCAAGTCATATCAGTCTTGGAAAAATAAGCATTAGATTTGATTGGGTAGCTCTTAGAAACTTTAAAATTATATTACATTGCTTCTCCCCTCTTCATTTTTCTATTCTATCCTTCCTAACCCTAGTCTCTGGCCCTTCCAGTGTTAATATTTATAAAGCAATGAGAAGGTAAGTTTGCTGAAAAGGAGAATCTGAAAAATGTATATTTTTTTGTATGGTTGGGAGGTAATTCTAGGGTATTTGTCTTAAATTTAATATATGTATGTATGCATACACACACTTCATTAAATCATGATCTTTCTGAATAGTTACAATAAAATTTTTGCCTTAGCATATGCATAGCATTATGACTCATCATTATTTGTGCTTATTGAACAACTAATCCTAAGCATCTGAACTGACATTTATAGTTTGTCCTAGTTACAAGATTCTTAAAGGCTGTCAGCAAAGTTACACTTGCTTTGCTCTCTCTTCTTTACTTTAAGATTTATGAATTGATACTTGAACTCAATAAATGAAGGACAGACCAGTGACTAGATATTGTCTCCTGCTAGTTGCTACCTAATTGCTTTTCCTTAGATATTTGTATTTTTCGGTTCCCAATAATTTTACAGAAAACGATTAACATTATTTTTGTTTCACATGAAATTTTCTACTAAAAATCTCTCTTTTCAGGACTTATGCAAACTTTATGCTATGTAAAAGGCTAACATAGTAGACTACCTGGAGCTTCATTTTCTGTGATTACTGACAACTAAATAAAAATTTAAATGCTTACTATACATTAGACATCAAAATTTCTCAAGAAACTCAAATGTTTTGTTTTTGAAAGGATATACATATTTTTAATATGTTGTACCTTGTGTCCTTTTGTTGGCTGGTACTTTTCTGATTGGTCGGTCTAAAAATAAATAGTAATAGTTAGATATATTCCAAAAGTGTGCTTGGATGCAAAGTGGAGTACCTAGTTAAATGAGACCATACAAATCTTTGGTAGTAGACATTATGCTTTCACGACAGGAGCTTTAACAGTGGTAAATTTGTTAATGTGAATACCTAAAACAAAGAAGTTTTCATTCACAAAAAGAAACTATCACTTAATTCACAAATTAATATAAATGTTCATTACATGAATCATATGATGTTCCATTATGTGATTTAGAACACATCATAATGTCCCAACGGCTATATACATAGCATGGCCCCCCACTTCCCCTACCCTTTGCTATAGATGACATTGATTTGCGTTGCAAAGAGATAGCTGCTAAGTGGTATCCAATGTTTAGGAAAAGTAAATTATCACAGAGTTATTAAGTAGATATTCCCATATATAAAACCATTTTCTTTTCCAGTGCTAATATAAGGGACCTCTTTAAATCTCTGTAATATTTTTAGCTTTGACAATAAAGTTAAAAGCTATGTAACAATGATTGAGTATTGACTGGAAATTCCCAGGAGCAAAAAAACAAAGGAATTAAAAAACAAACAACTCTATATCTCTATGCCCAAGCATACTTTCCCAAGTCAACATGACTGCGTCCCCCAAATATTCTTGTACTTTTTTTAAAATTTGGCTTTTGCTAAAGTCCTCCTCTGATCCCTGAGTATGGCATAGATATGACCTTTGCTCTGAAAGGTCATGCCTATGAATAATAAGCTGTAGCTCAGAAGTTCTTAAGTTTTTTTTTATGTCATGAATCTTTTGCACTGTCTGGTGAAGCCTATGGACCCATTTTTTCAGAATAGTATTACAGTCAGTTAGTTGATAAACATTTACTAAGCACCTACTGAGTTCCAGGCTCTGAGCGAAGCAATGGGGATGAAAAGAAAGGAAAAAGAGAGTGAAATGGGGAAGACAACAAGCAGCAACTATGTACAAATAATCTACAGAATAAATTAGAAATAATCAATTAAGGGAAGGCACCAGAAATAAACAAATTAAAAATAAATAAGGAAAGGTTAAATTTCACTTAAAGATTTGTAAAAATGAAGTTGTTGGTTGTCCACCCAAGTTTATGGACCCCCTGAAATCTATCCATGATCTCCTTGGAAGACAATGGACCTCAGGTTAAGAACTGGTGCTCTAGAAGGTACTAACACATAGTAAAAGGCTTTAAATATAGGCTAAATGACACAGTTGTCTAAGGACCAAACTAGTTAAATCAGATAACTTCATCTCTAGGAAACTGCATAGTACATATCTTATATGAGCATAGTTGTTTGCATGTTGTCTCCCCCATTAGACAATGAGCTCCTAGAGGGTAAGAATCATGTTTTTGCTTTTCTTTGTGACCCCAGTGCTTAGCACAGGTCCTGACACATAGTGAGGACTTAATAAATGCTTGTTGTTGTTGATGAAGACTGGTCATCATCTGAAGGGCACTCACAGGAACAAAGGACCAGACTTACTCTGTTTGGATTCAGAGTGAATGAGGAGCCATAAATAGGTGTTACAAAAAGATCAAATTAGACTTTATGTCAGGAGAAATTTCTTAGCAACAAGAGCTGTCCAAAAGAGGAATGAGTTTGCTTAGGGAGGTGGTGGGTTTCTCCTTCCTGGAGATCTTCAAGTAGAGCAGGTTAACCATTTGTCAAGTACATAGAAGTTTGGTTTTCTTTGGTATAAAGGCAGGACTAGAAGGCAACAGAGGTCTCTTCCACTTCTCAAATTCTGTGATTCTGTGCTAGTTTGATTAGAAGCAATTTACTTTGGATCATGTTTGTATGCTGGATCATATTTTAATATTTCTGGCTTCTCTCCTCATTTTGAACTCATTTGATATCTCTACACATGGAAGCACTATCAAGTGGGAGCACAGCTTTTGGCCACCAATAAGTCAATATTTTCAATCTTTTTTTTTTTTTAACAGTATTTCTGGGAGTGTAGATCTGAAAAGAAAAATCGGTTTCTATACAAACACTACTTCCTGTTCTAGTTCATTCCCTAGAAAAATCGGAGTTTGTTGTCATTCATAATATCTTTATAGCTAGTGACCAAATGAACATTTCTCAATCTGGTTTGTGTTTTTTCCTAGTTTTTTGAAATAGCATAATTAATAGGGTTTGTGGCATTCATTCAGAGTCATTTATGGATTTTTCTCTTGGAGCTACAGAAATAGAACAGTTATATGGTTTGGGTTAATTCAATTTCCTATCATACACAGCACTATTCCAAAATGTCTTCCATTTAAGTACGAATAGTGGGCCATACATAATCATAGCATTACAATAAATTGCAGAAATACAGTGAAACCTCATTAATTTAGACTAAACCCAATGGATAGATAAAGTGCTTCCTGCCTCTGAATCTCATCCACAGGACAAAGAGATTGAAATAGAGGTTCTTCAAGTTTTCTTCTAACTCAAAGAATCTTTGATTTTGCATTTTACTTATAGACCATTTTCAAATAAATGCATTGTTCATTATTGTCAAGCACATAGTGCAGTGGCAAGGACATTGTTTTGTAAGTCTTTGGATCATAGATGTAGAGCTGAAATAGACCTCAGAGGCTATGTATTCTAACCCTTAATTTAAAATTTTAGGTAGAGGATCTAGGTTCCAATCCTATTTCTGTCACTTACAAATTATGTGACACTCGGCAAAACAATTCATCTTTCTGGAACTCATTTTTTTCCCTCTGTAAAAGGATCAGTTTGGACTACAATGACCTATTTCTCAATCACATAGTACTACTCAATAACACCAACACATGGCTAACAAAGAATTGCCAAGAAGAGATGATGACCTATTTTTAATAATAGCCAAGGATTACTAACAGGTTGTGCTTAAAGTGGAGAAAAATAGATTGTTGTCTTAACTAGTTTAAACATTTTCTCTGTAACATTATTTACCCATTTAATTTGCTAAATAAGAACAGAGACTGGGATAAGGATTGAACCTGTGTTTTCACTGATATTAGGAACTCCCTGGTGAAGAAATACTCTCTACCAGTGCAGGCTGCCATCTTCTTTGCAATTTACAGTCTTAATGAATTGCCTAGAGTACAAGTTACCTGCACATGATCACACAACCAATAAGGGTCACAGATGAGACTTGAACCCAGGTTTTCCTGTCTTCAAAGTCAGATATCTAGTCTTTACTACATGAAATCTTTCTATTTGCTAAGCATTTTAAAATAAATATGTGTAATAGGGAACTTATTTACTCCAACTCCAAATTCAATCCAATTAATGACAAATGAAGAATACATGAAGTCTGAATTAATGAAGTTTCAGTGAGTTATTAATTCATGATTTAGAAATTTGATAATGTGAAAATATGAAAGTAACTATTATGAAAGGTACAATATTATTTTAAATATTATTTCTAAACTTAAGGATACTCTCTGCCACTCAAAATGAAGGACCATTATGTTTGACCATGTTTGTAGATGTGAACTGAATGGATATTAAAAAATATTATCTGGATGCTCATAACCATAACATATTTTTGTTTGAAGCATTCACAATTGGAAGGTCCTAAACTGAATACATAAATTCAATCAATTTCTTCATGTGTGAACAACCTCCACTAAATTTCTACCCAGTGCTTCATCATGTCATTAAAGTGACCTTGAATTCTCAAGGGTTCTACTCATGGAAACAGAGTTCAGGAAAATCTAACCATGCCAGAGTGATGGGGACAGACATTCTGTCCTCTGAGGACCACCCTCACTATTGTTCCAGATTAGCTTCCATTGCAGCAGAAACATCCACTGAGTTTTAAAGGGGTTGCATGAAATCTGCTTCTGTGAAAGCTATTATCCAATAAAAGAAAAACAAATACTTGAAGTATTGATAGATGAATGATTTTAGGAAATACTGTTGACATTTCTAAAACCAAAACTATTTGACAGCAACTGAAGATAGGAACCTCAGGGCTATTAGAGGCAGAGACAAACTAACCTGCCTGGAGGACTTTCTTGGTTTCCGTTTCGATAATCTGGGGTTCACTCTCAATTACTTTAGTGAACTTGGTGTACTCAGTTCCAGCTAAGATAAGCATTAGAAACAAGTGATCACAGTTGTATAATTCAATATCAATTTTGAGAGAGCATTTCCTTGGGTGATGGAATTGGGGACATTTCAGAGGCGAGTGGTTGTGAGATATCATTACATAAAAAATGATGTATACTTTGTAAATCAAAGTATATAGGGTTAAACAATAGTAATTCAGAATATGGCAGTCTAGCACAACTAAGGCCTAAAGGTATCCATTAGGTTAGAATGAAATCCATTAGGTTTATCTACAGTCAAATTTTATAGACTTAATTCCTTCAATTATCTTATAAGTGTGTCTTTCTCAAAAACCAGGAAAGGGATTATGGGTGTCTTAGAGCAACAACGATGGGCTGCATGGTCATAAAATTAATCCATTGGCCTGTCAACAAGTTAAATATTGTACTTTGCAGTACAAATGAAAAGCAGCCTAGAAAAAAATATGTTTCAAAATGTACAGAATATAGTAATAGAAAATTAGACTTTATAGAAATACAGGACAAGTACATTTTGGTGAATAGACTCAAATCAGAGTCAAATCCCTTAAGGGAAGGATTCCATTTACTAGGGAAAAATAGAACATTATCATAACTAATAAAGAAGCCCATAAAATTCCATATACACATCTTGCCTTGGGCATGGATGTGGAGAGGAAAAGAAAAAATGATCAGAAGCTTAAAATTCCAATGAGATAATGTCTGCAAAGTGTGTTATGATCATAAATGCCATATAAATCATCAGTTAATAATAGGTTCTAAAGTTGGAATGGATCTTAGAAATGTTCTAGTCTAACCCACTTCTCCTTTTCACAGAGAAGGAAACTGAAGCTCCATGTAAGCTATTCATCTTAATAAATACATGAACAAATCAATAAATAAGAAATCTTACATTTGCATGATGAACTATTAGGAAATTATATCGTAAAATTTTATAAAACATACAAAACAACAGCAATAGTAAGGCTAAATGAATTAAAGCATTACAACAAGATGCAGCTACAAATTGATTCATTCTTTAATAAAGCAGTACTATTCTACAAAGCTGCCTATCATGGAATGGAAGAAAAAGGAATTCAAATAATATTTCACAACATAACTATCAGGTGTATAAGGACGTAATATACTTGGACTTGTTCTGTATTTGAAGACATTAGACTTTCACTATTATTAAACTTGGACCAAATTGTCCTCTATAGTCATCTCCTTCCAGGGAGATGGTTTTCCTGAACTCCCAAGCTACTTCATTGAAATTATGCTCACCTTGAGGAAAAATGTAGTTAATTCATTTTTAATATTTCAAAGTTGTCAACGAGTTTTTGAGGTAAGGATGAAAATAAGTAAGATCAAAGGATAAATAATAGCAAAAATCATCCAAAACAGATAAGTACACACCCTATGGGAAAGATAGGCATAGGACTAAAATATACATTACTTAAAACAGCTTGGAATAATTATTTTAAGCAAGACAGGCAACATTTTCTAGGGTATAGAGAGCTTGCCTTAAAACCAGGAAGACCTGAGTTCAGTTCCTATCTCTAACACATAGTGCCTATGTGACTTTGACCTAGTCACATACCTTTCAGTACATCTAGGCATAGACTCTAGTGAAAGTACTGACCTGCATTAGCAAAGGAAATTTCATCATCTGAAAGTTCCTTTTACCAGGGAAATAATTTTAGTCCCTATTCCACTTCTAATTCTAAGTCAATGACTAATTTCTCTTTCTATTTTTATAGGTTTGATTTTAGTTATTTAAAGTTTATTATATATATATATAATATATATACATATGTATTTAAATCAATCATTTTCAGTAATAATTTTTATAAAGAATAATCTTTCTGGATAAATTTGAGTTTATTTAGGCATAATTAAAAAAGGTTATGAAAATAGTATACCTGACCTAATTAGAAACACTCATGTTGGCTATGTATCTTGCTATGAGCTAACCAGTATTTAAAACTTAGATGATGGAACTTGAATTCCTTTTTTTTCCTCACACTGCTACCACAGGCAGTTCTACTTAATGCAACAAGCAGAAAACATTCCATATTGTTTTAGATTGGGATTAATTTCATGTGCAAAAATCATCTACACCCCCTACTACGGTTAGAAGAAATAGATATCACCATTCTCAAGAATGTAGCTTTGGAAAAGAAAGTTATCAAAGCATCAATTCTTGCTATTTCTATGCATATAAAGATTCTATTAACATGCTTGCTGCCCTGGAAGCAGTGAATACTCATTTCAGGCTGCTTGAAGAGTATGCTCTGTAGAATCTCTTTAAATTTTCAAATTTACCTGTTTTACAGTTTTTAAATGGAAAAAAAAAGTCTTTATATGTGAGTGAAAAAAAGTATTCATTGCTCCCCATGCTTTGTTCTAGGAAACCTTTTAAAGACTGTTGAAGCTGTTCATCATTTGGTCATTTTCATTTTGATTCACCAAAGCAAACCAATTGGTCTGTTAGAACAATCCATGGAGCTGCTTATAAAAATAAATATTAATCTGAAACTCATTCAGTCTTTAAAAAGCTGAGAGAAAATGTATTGTGAGAACTTGTCTCCAGTACCTGTTAAAAAGGTTAGTCATTACCCATTTACTAACCTCCCTGAAGCAGCCTTTTGATTTCTTCATCTTCAAGCAAATGAGCATCACCACCTTCAATGAATTTGGTGACCTTGGTGACCTCTGAGTGGATACATGTTCATAGCAGAAATTGGTTTATTCAAGATAATCACACAAAAATCAATTTCCTGAATACTTAAACAGTAATAATTTTGGGACCAACATTCTTTTTTTCTGTTACAAGACAATACAAGATGGTTTTGTTTTACCAAACAAATAAAACCAATATGACTGCTAAGTGATAGAAGACCAAATCTGTGATCCTTTTTGTTAAGGTGGGAGGGAACCTAAAGCAAAAAGAGAATTGCAGCAGAATGGACTTAAAAGCTTCAAGATTTTCATAAAAATGACTGATCTTGAGAGACCCGGATTCTTATTAGTGTAAAGATACATACCTTCCTGGAGCAACTTCTTTAATGTTTCTTCTGTCTCTCCAACATTACCAGAAGAAATTCTGGTATATTTTATTTCAGGACCTGAAGGAAAGAAAGAATTGGAATATAATATTTTAAACCTGGACTAATCCATTCAACTCAACAAGCACTTAGGCACTTAATATGTCTTTGTTGACTGAATCAATGCAAGATAAGAACAGGGGCTAGGGAGTAACCACAGTCAGGAAACTTAAAAATGTGATTATTAAAATACTCATACTAGATTTAAAAATACCAAATGGCATAATACGTAAACAGAAAGATCTTTCTCTGGGAACCTATATTAAAATATTCATACTAGATTAAAAAATACCAAATGCCCCAATACATAAACAGAAAGATCTTTCTCTGGGAACCTAATTTCTTTGTATTTACTCTTTTTATTTATTTATTTATTTTTTTAGGCAATTGGGGTTAAGTGACTTGCCCAGGGTCACACAGCTAGTAAGTGGTGTGAGGCGAGATTTGAACTCAGGTCCTCCTGACTTCAGGGTCAGTACTCTTTCCACTGTGCTACCTAGCTGCCCCTTGTATTTATTCTTTATAGACTCTTTTGTCTCTACTCATCTGTGTTCATGTTGTTTACTCCTAATAGAATGGAAACTCATTGAGAGCAAAGATCATTTCATCTTTTGTTTTTGCATCCCTAACACTTCACACATAGTAGGTACTTAATATATTCTTGTTGACTGAATCAATGAAAGATAATAACAAGGGGCAGGGAGTAGCTACAGTTAGGAAACTTGTGAATACATTTATTAAGCTTCTCATATTAAACTAAAAAATACCAAATTACTCAACATTCAATATGTAACTAGAGAAACCTTTCTCTGGAAAACTAAACTGAATATCTTCTAAATAATTCAGTTATTACTGTTTATTCATAATAGGGAAAATAAAGCCTCTTCATTTTGTACTAATGTAGTTCATATGAGATTAATATGCTCTTAAAATCATATAGCACAGTTCTATCTAATGGGAAGTATTTATATGGTGAACATTAAATTCCTTCTATTGCTGCTGTGGTACTAAGAAATACCTATTTAAATAGTTGTTTCCTGATTTAGAGGGGCAATATGACTGTGGATAGAGTTGACTTTGGAGTTAGGATGATGTGGGTTCAATGAAGTCCCACTTCTATTACACATTGGCTCTGTGAACCTGGGTAGGATCCCTTCATATAATTTTCTAAGACTAAAAGTTGCAGAAGAGATACTGAGAAGTTCCTCTCACCAATAAAATCACAGGTCTACACACATACACAGAGAGAGAGAGAGAGAGAGAGAGAGAAAGAGAGAGAGAAAGCGAGAGCATGAGTTTACTGGCCAGTGTATTTTGTTTGCCTTAACTAGTTTTTTTGCTACTAAGGACTACTTTCTCTCCATTGACAAAAATACATTGTAATGATAAATATTTCACTGTGCAGTGAAGATGTTGGCCATGTACAGAAATATCATTTACCTTTAATAATTCTTTCCTCTGTTGTCTCTTTTTCAGTTATTTCTACTGGTCTCCCACCAATAATTTTGGTATATTTTTTAATAATGGGCTCTGAAATGGATAAAAAAGACCAATAAATCCCTCAGTGGGTATTAGAATACTATTCACAAGGCAGTTGAATGTTTCAGTTTCTCACTGAAAACAATATCATTTAGACATTTAATCCAAAGATGAGCTTTATTAATAAACCAGCATTCTCCCTGATGTAAGTCCAGATCTACTTAGCATCAAGTTATGACAATGTTATCATGGATTTTGGGCAGTGGGAAAGACCAAACTAAACAACTGCTAGCACCTTGTTTTACTTTTTGACGACTAGATTTCTTATAAGTCTATTTATGAATTCCAATGAACCATACTAGATTCTATCTTGTACCTTAGAATAAGTTCTAAAGAAAGTTATGTCTTCATAGAAATAGTACCATGCAGGTACAGATTTGCCTGTTATTTGTTATTATAATAATCTTTATTATTTTTATCATGTAGTCTAAAATTTTCATTTCAGCTACAAAATGAAAGTTGAGTTTGGTACCCAAAGCAATCAATTATATGGAAGCTGTTAATTTCATTACCAATCTGGTTCAACTGTAGCCATTGACTGAGTCGCTTTCCCTAAGAGCTTCTCCCTATATACTTTCTGTGCAGTATGATCTCCTTAAGAGTTCTTACACCAGGACAAAAGAATCATATTTTTGAGCAGTTATCAAGCTATATATGATAAAATAATTCCAGTTTTCTTAAAAAGTAGGCCAAAAAAAACAACAGAAATAATGTCACTCTGAATTTCAAAGATGTTTCTAAAATAAGCCCAATGAAAATATTAAATCATGTTTAAAACACTCACCTCCATGAATCACTTGAGTTATTGTTTCACCCTCCTTAATCACTTGGAATTCAGAATCACCTTCAATTGTCATTGAAGGTCCTGAAAAATTGTTTTAAGACAAAGGGCCATATAAAAACTTTTCTTTATATGATTTTTTAATACCATCTGAAAGCCTGTTAGTCTAATATGAAGGGAAAATGTATTTCAAAACTAAATATATATTATTCAAACCTTTAGTTTTTGAAATTATCTCTAAGAACTCGTTTTGTGTAGATGGAGCTTTATTTTGGCATATGACTTAGGTAATGTGTTAACTCTTATTTCTTTACTCAAATCTGAAGATTAAATGGAAAAACAAACCAATCATATGCAAACATTTTTTATTTTATCTTGGCCTAGTGGCAAGATCACTGACTCTAGTGTCAAAGGATCTGAGTTCAAATCCTACCTGGAATGCTTACTAGCTGTGAGAACTTACTAGCTATGCAAGTCACTTAACTTCCCAAGGCCACAGTTTCTCCCTCCATAAAACGAGGGAGTTGACCTAGATGACCTTTGAGATTACCTCAAGGGCTAGATCTATGCATTTGTATATACATGAACATTGATAGAACTTGCTTTACAACACTATCTTGTTTGCTGCCTTTTTTTTCCCTAAATGATACAAAAGCCTCATAATCCACTTTACTTATTTAGTTTTTTATTCATGCATAGGATTGAGTGAAAAATCATAACTGTCACTGCTTTGGAACTACAGAAGGTGTGTGTGTGTGTTTGTGTGTATAATAATTATATGTAATAATACTCACCTGCTGCAGGAAGATGATAAATAGATTAGCTAATTAATTAGTGATCCCATTCCCCTTTAAAATACCAAAGGAAATGCCCAGGTATAGTTTACTTGCAAAATGTCTTTGCTTCATAAGCAAAGCATTTTGAATGTTAGGAAGTTGATTACTGCATTAGTTCACCAAAAATATCTCAGAGAGGAAGAAAGAAGGTTCAGTACATTTAACTCATACTATAAAACCTGATAATAGTAAAATGTGACTGCATCTTTTGTATTTGCACACTTTTTTTCCAGAAATTATCATTCCAAATCATTGCCTGGCTTTTAATTTTCTCAAACACTTGTGGAGCATAATCCCACAGAAACTAAAACCACACAGCAATGAAATTTAAATTAGAGGAAGAACTTAAGAAATATGGAAATGGACATTACAAATTGGTATATTATTTAATGTTTTAAAGTCTGCAAGAGGAGAAGGAAGCAAACTAATTTCAGATAAAAAACAATCAAATAAATAAACAAGTCCTCATTCCTATGCTGTTTTTAAAAGAGGGAAATGAGATTATATGAGACTAATTCTCATGTAAAGAATCCTCACATCACGGTTTTCTTTTAATCTACAGCTTGATAAAATATCATTAAGTTAGGAAATTATTGTTACTGTTTGGAAGGTTCTAAATACATGAGAGACAGTCATCAGATTTATGAAAGTGTGAAGTGTGGTATTTAAGATAAGACTGGAAGAACATCAGCAAAAGGAGATCAATACAAAGATCCATATCCCTTCGAATCATTGTTTTTGTTTCTCCATCTCACTGCAGGGACAGTGGTTGCTGCTGTTTTGAATTGATGAGTCAGATAAAGAAATTACTTGGCTTTGTGTTTCCATATGGATTTCCCATTTCATAAGTGCCACCCAACTATAGAATGAAGATCTTCTCCCCCTTAGCACAACATACATGAAGAAAAATTGTACCAGGGCAGAGTATTTCTAGCAGAGGTAGGAGGGTAAGATGGACAGCTAGAATGAAAAGAATGGTCATTGGAAGAATGGAGAAGACCCTTAGTACAGAAAATAAAGAGTTCCAAAGTGTGGTTTCAGATATAAGATGATGAAATATGTTTGAACTCTACCATGAATAATCAGGTTTTTTTCTTAATAATAAAAGAAATAATATTGACTTATGATTAAGGTTTGTTTGGACATTTTCAATGAAAATAGTAAACACTTTCTCAGTGAAAGGTTTCTGAAAGATAATTGTATACTACATAGACCCCTATTCCTTTTAGACAAAGGATGAAAACAATCAAATCATTACCAACACAATACTTAAAAGAATTGTGAGATGGGCAAATTTAGAGACATCTCCACTCCAAATGTTCATATGGACTATTTGTGCCTGACCTATGGTAGAGCCTTCTGAGTTCATATTGATCTGATCAGGCACAGTTGGGCACACTGTACCTTGACCTGAACACAGTGACGTCATTTTGGTCCTCTTCAAGAATGAAGAAAAATAACCAACCAACTTAAGAGAATAGGACCAGACATTTTCTCAGAACATTCAATAACTAGAAAATAACTTTACAATGAAGACAGTTAATTATTTATAAATATGACTTTCTCCCTTTATTACAAATGTTAATTTTTAATATAAGACTTAAGAGGAATAGAGAAAAGCTACTAGGCAACCCTTCACCTAATTTCATAGTATCTGAAACTAGCTACCAGAGAAGAGTAGAATATTTAAAATAACATCAAGAAGTTAAAAGCATATTTTGTGGAAGACTATGCTTCTGACCTGTATGTTTTATATGTTGTTCTTTCTTAAGTGAAAAAAAAAACATATCTCTTTAGAAAACGGTCTTTTCAAAAAGATCATTCATCACATTTGAGTACCTATAGGAGAAATTTCCTTTGAATATCAGAAATCCTAGAATGATGCCCTTCCAAGAAAAATAGTGAAAAGGAAAAATAATATAAAGGGCTACACTTGAAGATGATTTAAACAGGCAATAACAAGAACCTGTCTCATATAATTCTATCAATGGAGGAAAATGAAGAAATAAAAGTGATTGCTCGTATTAGAGCCTTTAATGTCCACCAAAGTCTAGCCTCTCTTTTCTCAAATCATGGTGCTCAAGGATCTTCAATGAAAGAGACCAATGATTTAGCAAATAGCTCTAACAGAGGTCAAAAGGGATGAATTTCAAGAAATGAACAAAGAGATTACATTTTTAAAAATAATTATAATTCATCAAAGAAATTTGAATTACAAAAATGCATAGGATTTGATTGCTTGATGAATGACTGGGTGCCAGAGCAGAGGCAGTGGTCACTTGAGTTTATTTTAAACTTAGCACAAGTAAATGTACTGAAGGGGTTAAGAACACATCATCCATTTACTATGCTACAGATTTTACATGTTGCATTCTGCGATCATAGCATCATGCCATTGGTTTAAAAGAATTTAGCATGTTAGTTTCAAAGAATGTAGTAACATTCATAGAAATCAATCTATTACGTAGATATTTTTCAAAATAAAAAGGAACCATCTATTAACAGATTGATTTTTACCTTCACTTTTGACAATAGGCTGAAGACTGCTTTCAATCACTTTAATTTTGGGTTCCACAACTTTTGTAATAATTTTAGTTGCTGAAAGTGTAGAAAGTGGAATATGAATCATGTATATATTAAAAAAAATAGCCAGAACATTGTCCTTTTAAGAATGGCCTTTAAATAGTTTTGAACAATCATATATAGTTCAAGTCCAGGGACTTAAAATTAAGGAATGTTAATGGTGTCAGATTAAGTATCTTCAGAAATCCAGATGTTGAAGACTTTGAATTTTCCTTGATATAATTGTGATCCGATTTAATTTCATATTCATTAAAGAACTTTTATATAGAGAACTAAGATTTTTAATTGCACCACTAAGCTCTTTCCCTTTGATTGTACTTCTTGAAAATAGGGGCTGCATGGTAATGGAAAATAAATAAACATAATTAAACTTATGCAATTTACCATATTTCAAATTGCATTCTTGGTTTTCATCCCTCTCAGGTAAAAGGAAAAAAATGAAAGAAAAAGGCTATGAAACATTTTTCATGCATTTGATTATAGTGACAGGAAAGAAAGATCAAGAAAAAAAAAGTTCAGTATATCTAAGAATCCAAATTAAACCTCAGCCAGTCAGATGTGGGCTCTATGCAACAAAATATTATATGTTGAGTATTTCAAACTGCAAAGTCAATGTCTTTGATTTTTCAACAATATCACAAACAAATATTACAAGTCCTAATAGTATTTCTTTTCTTGGTTCTAGAATTAAAATTATATTTAAGAACAATAATAAAAGATAAAAATATATTTTTTGCCTATGTAAACCAAAGTGGATTTGGGGAGTGGTAGAGATGCAATATCTAATAAAATTTTACCAAATTAGAAAACCAAGCTGTACAATTCAACACTGCCATCTCCAATCCCAAAATGGGATTTTGATGTAGCTTTCCTGGTTTGACTTCCTCAAATAACCTAGAAAATGACTAGCTCTCCCTTTCACTTTCTGCTACATAGGCCCAGCTACTGTTTCCTCCATTTCCTCATTACGGTATTAGAAAGATGGCTTCATTCAGTGATGTGCTAATGTTTACAATAAATCTGCCTGTGTATACATAGCATGGACATGTCAACACTAGAAAATCCAGCTGTTAGCATCGCCTGGTGGCTTTTCAGATTCTCACTTCTAATTCCCAAGAACTTTGACTGTGTAAACTGAGAGGCTGTATAGAGGAGTGTTGGGGTGGTGAAGGAGTATTGGCAGGATGAAGGAGTCTTAGTTAATATCTAGATTAAGCCACATTCCATTTTTTATGTCATGAAGACATGCTATGAAGCTCATCACATGTCACAATCAATCATGCTTGTGCCTATATACATTGTCCTGCCATGGAACAATTTGTTCCAATTAAAGAACAGACGTTCAGGGTTGTCTATCAGTTTTCATCATTTTAAGTTAACCATTTTGCATCAATTCCCACATCTTAAAAACAAAGAACTAAAACTTTTCTTCTTTGGATATTGTATATAGTCTTCAAATAAGAACAAATTGAATGGTGAGGGTAAAAGTGAATAAAGTGGTCACTTCTTTTCAAATCTTATACATCTTAACTAATAGAATCTATAAAAGATATTTTCAACACAATTTATAATTCAGGGGATATTTGAGGAAGCAAATTTCCTACAAGATAAATCAAGGGAATTAGATGATTTTGTTAGATAAAGGCAATAGACAAAGTTATACAGAATAATAAAGACAATACATTATTGATTTGAGTTGGACTTATATTTGAATTTTTTCAGTTATGTTTTCATCTTCATTTGAAATGATGCTGTTGAATAATAATATACTTATTTTGTGAGTGGTAACAGCAACATTGTTTATGAACACATGGGAAGAAGCTTGATGTAGTGGATAGAATATTGGACTAAAGACCAGAAGACTTAGATTCCTTATAATATTGTCTCATAAAAGTATTTGAAAGATGGACTCATTCAAATTGCAATAAATCTACCCATATACACATTGCATAGACTGTATCAGCATGAACAAATTCAATAATGAAAATAACCTCCTTTCTTTTTATGATCTCAATTCTAATTCCTAAAACATTTGGCTGAGTACATTAGAACTTGGCTTCATAGTACTATTGAGAGAGGTAAGGTAAGCCATTTAATGTGATTTTCTTCCTTTGTAAAATGAGGATAATGGTAACTACTCTGTATGCCTCTTGATAATATGAAATTCAAATGAGGTAACTTTGAAGAACTTTGGACATTGTAAAGCACCATACAAGGGTGCAGCATTACAATGATTACATCCCAGGAAGATCTAAGAATGGATAACCAATTTTTAAAAGTTTTTTTGATGTCATAAAATGGAGCTTATGTTTGGGATCTAAGGAATTGGGTTTTCTAAAAAACAAATGGTGAAAATAAGGACACTACTATAATACTATATGTTCATTAGCTTATCCTAAGCACGATATTGCATCGAATTATTTAGGAAATCTTTGATGAACTAATATTGAATAAATCAGAAAGATGAGTAAAAATCATGCAGATCTTTATAATGGGTAAAGGTCATATAACATTTCTGATGAATAGAGCCCATAAAGACTTCTTTCATAAGATGAATTAAACAATAATGAATACCTCTAGAACAGAATTCATAACATTGAAGAATTTTACCCTTCCTTTAGAATCCTTAAGTATAATGTTGAGCTGGACTGAGTTATATGACTTTATAAGTGACTATTTTATTTCTTATTTAAGTTAAATCAGGCAGAGCAACAGACATTTTGTTTCGCTTCTGATGCTGAACTTATTCCATTAAAATTTTGGAGGAGTTTAGAAAGAGTTACACTGTTCAAATCATTGAAAAATCAGGACTTGGAGTAATTTTTCTAGCAAAAATAACTGTGCAAATTGAATTTCATATTTTTTGCTACAGATATATTTTGTGGGTTTATTTGTAAAGCCAAACAAAATGAAAATCTTCTGCTCCTAAAAGCTCTGGTGAAAGGAAGAATAAAAAAAAGTAGAATAAGATATAAAGAAGAAAAAGAAACCTTTCCCATTACAACCTATACTTACACACTAGCAGTATAATCTAGAGGTATCTTTCTTTAAGGGATGCAATTAGAATGCTTACAGTTTGGCCAGATTGGAATTAAACATTCTGAGATTTGGGAATCAGTCATTCTTAGAAGTGGCAGCCAAGCTTTGCAGCTGCACATGTAGAGAATGGCAAATAAACCAGGAACTGTCAAACACTGGTTTACTTGGTTTTGTTTGTTTTCATATTTGTTTTTGTTTGTTATTTCTGTTCTTGGGACAGCTCAGTGTTGAGATGGGAAGGAGTGTTGAAGAGTAGTCACTCCTGAAAGCACTCACTGCTTCAGAGTGTCCTCTTGGGCTCCTTCTAGTTTGTCCAGCTCACCTCCACTTTCCCAGTCCCACCTTTTTTTGCCATTTTTCCCACTCTTTATACTTTCCCCTTCAAAGCCCAAAGTGGTAGATGAATGAGGAATATGAATGGATCTAAAAGGTGCAATCAGGAAGAAGTGATTTTCTCCACACTCTTCTTAACCCTGGAGTGACTGAGAAGTGATTTGCCTGCCAGTGTTTGAGAGTTCGAGTACCAAATCACCAATGATTTGTGGCTCAGACCAAAACAAAACCACCTAATTTTCTTTTCTCATCAATATTTCCCCCTATGTTTGAAAAGGTTCACAGTGTACTTACTATAAACGGTTACAGGGATTTCTTTGAAGGTGCTGCCACGGACAAACTAAAAATCATAAATGTTTAAATTTAGTAGAAGGAAATATGGTACCTTTGCCAACAAAATCAAACATTGCCATCATTCTCACTAACCTATTAGCCTAACAGAAGGGAACATTCCTCACATTTCTTAGAAGTAGAAGGAGGTTCCCAGAGAGCTTGTATCTTTAACTCCCTGCTAAGCAGGCCAGATTATACCAAAAGTATTCATGAAGTGCAGAAAGAGATGTTTTAAATGGAATAGGATCATCAACAGTTTCTATTCACATAGAATTGTTCAGGTTGGAAGAGGACTTAGACATTATTTAGCACCTCTTATAAAGGGGAGGAATGTATTCCAGCAAGGTCAAATGACTCACTTCCTGAAACAAGGTGATATGATATTTTACAATAAAATAGTTTGTATTTTTCTACTGTCTATAAATAACATGCTAAATAATAGAAAACATAAATCTTGTTGGTTTTATGACAACTTTATAGGTCAGCCATTTAGAAGATCGTTGAAGAGTTAAATCCAATTCTTTCGGTATTTGATTGCTCGTGCAGACATTTTAGGGCGTGTCTTCTAAATCATAAGCTTTTGCCAAGCATATTAAAAAGAAAGGCATTAAAACCAAGTATTTTTACCTTAATTTGAATGTATTTAATCAATTTATTGAGGATCTCCAGCAGCTGATCATTTCCAACAGGTATGTCTATAAAGAAGAACACAGTTAGGAATCAGAAGTAGTTAAGAATTTATAGGCAGTTTTAAATTAAAGATCCTCAAGTATATACTTAAAGGGAACCTGATCCTTTTATTTTTTTTTTAATTTAAAAACGTCATAAATCAACGCAGAGAAGACTGTATGTGCTTCATTTCTTTATAAATTAAACTTAGGTCTCAGATCAACAATTCTTAGCTGGAAAAGAATTGTATTTTAAATGCTTAGGCAAGTATCAAGTGTAATAATTCCCTCTGAATTAAACATTTCACTCAGATTCAATTAATTAATTTCTTAAATTAAATAGCATGAATTTCTATTGGAAAGGAATCATCCATAAAATTAATTCTAAGAAGAAAACTTTACAAAGCATTATTGCATATTTTCTCATAATTGAAATTTCAGGGAATACCTTTCCCCCCCTTAAAAAGCTTATGTTCAATAGATTAGATTAAGTCATTTATCATAGCTGTGGATATACTAACTAACCTGCAGGGTAGAGCAGTTTGTCTACAACATGAATGACACCATTAGTTGTCATGACATCAGATTCTTTCGATTTTACTTCATTCACCAGAAGTGTATTATTTACCTATAAGGGTGAAAAAGGGGGAAATGAAAGATCATGGTATTGGTTTTGATGAAAGCTATACATAAAATCTCCAAATTTAATTATAATATGAATTTATTTCAAATCACTATTGGAAACTATGAAATGAAGGACTTACGCCTTTCAGGAAGATTTTGCTTCCTTGTGTCGTCTTAAGAATGTTTGTGACTCCAGGTTCAAATCCTTTTCCAATGAAAACTCCTGGTGTCAAGTGATAAAGGATAATGTTCTGAAGAGCATTTTTGTCCCCTAGGGAAAATATGAAAGATATTCAAGAAATGTCATTGGAAGGTCATTGTAAGTTGTATTTTCTAAACTCTAACACCATAAGTGGAATTGTCATAACAGAACCTTTCTGTGCTCTTTAAATGGGGTTCAAGTATGTGTCTTTTTGTACAGTACCACTGTATCATAATCAATACTCAAACCCAGTCAGTATTATGAATTTTTTTTCCTAAAATATCATCCCACTGTGTTGGACTTGGATGTGCAAAACAGGAGTAAACTCTCCCCAAAGCAATATTATAGCATATTATACCAAACCACAGTCAAGTAACAAAATTTATGGGAGGGACATTAAGGTCAGTTCAATTCACTTGAATATATGCATATATTATATACACAAATGCATAATAAAATGTATATATGGCCACATTATATATAGATATTCACATGTATATATGTGTATGTATTTGAGTGTATTTCCAGAGGCAGCATGGTGCAGTAGATAGAGAATTGACTTTGAAGCCAGGAAAAACTGGGTTCAAGTCCTGCCTATGATATATACTAACTATATGACCCAGGGTACGTCATTTACCTCTCAGTTCCCTTGGCAATACTGTAAGATTTTAAGTTGCCATGAAAGTATTGACTCATACGATAGAGTTTCTTCACCTAGCAGTTTCCAATACTAATTAAATCAATAGTTCTGACACTACAAATATAAAAGATCCTATACTCATTGAATTTTTATTGCTGAGCAGCAAATGTAGACTGTTATCTGCTCTGATGAACCATGGTGGTGAATTAAAAAACAAACAAACAAACAAACAAGCAAGTTTGAAAAAAATAGACTCTTCCACTCTTAACTTTTGTCCTCTTCCTCACCATTCTGCTACTTTAAAGAAAAAAGAGAAAAGGAAATTGAAGTCAAATCAAATAAAGTCAAGTTCCTATAGGTGAGGAAAACATTAAAGCTGGAAATTAACATGAAAAATGTTGAATACTTCATTGGACTTTTGAAAATGCTATAATTTTAAATCACTTAAAATTGAAGAATAATATGAAAAAGTCAGAAGTAGACAGAAAACAAATGGTGTAATATTTGGCATTCTATAAATTATAGTAATTTTATTCATAGTATATTTGAAAACTGGTCATATTTGATGCTTAAAGTTAACTTATGGCCAGAATCCAGGTGAACACAGGGGGAGGATAAGGTTTGGTATAATTAAAAGGACACACTGGGTTATTAGTCTAGAGAACTGGGTTTTTGTTTCAGTACTCCTATGACCTGGCTTTCTGACATTGGACAGGGTCATTTCCTTATATGCAAAATAAGTGCAAGTATATTTTCCATCTCTAAAATTCCATTTTTACAAAATTGCTAACTATGTTAAAGAGTGATAAAGAATTTCTAATTGTAGAAGTGGAGGACTATATAGGAAGGGAGTAAAAGACTCAAAGGACTCACTGTAGGCAACATGGTTTATTGAGAAGAGTCAAATGAACTGGTCTGAATATTTGACTCTCCTATTCACTAACAATATGTCTGACCTTGGACAAGTCCTTATACTTCTCTGATATTCAATATCCTCATCTCTAAAATGAGATGAGGTGCATTAAGTTAACTTCTAGTTCATTTTAACTTTAAACTGATGCGTATTTGCCCACAACACTGTTTTACATTCTCTAACACACTCTACTAACCATTTAGTTATCTGTGTAAGTATTATATCCCTTAATAATTATACACACCATGGCTATGACTGTTTTATCTAACCATTATATTTTCTGTACAGTAGGTTTTTAAATAAATACTTGCTGAATCAAGGAGTTCTTAAACTTGAGAAGCTCTATCATGAAAAGTTCATTTTTTTTATACTCACGGATCAGTATTTCTTTTTCTTCATTTGTCAGTCCCTTAAAAGCATCATTGGTTGGCACAAACAAGGTCCATTCTCCTGGTTGTGTCAGAATATCTTTCAAATCTGCAGCTTCAAGTAGGTTGAGGAAAATGCTAAAGTAAAAGAAAAATACATATCCTCAAGTTCTGATTTACTAAGATTTAGTAATGCTCATTAAACAATGCATTTATTCATACAAAATCTTTTATCAAAAGAAGCATCAGAGTCTTTCATGCAATTTTATGTTTATGATATAAGACTTGGGTAATACTTAAGTTGTTTAGGGAAGGGTAGTGGCTATGTATACTATAAATCTTTTTTGGTTTTGAACTTCTTTTCCTATAAAATTTGGTCAGTTAATAACCTTACAAAATGAAAACATGTTGGCTCTTTACAAAGGAACTATTTGCCAACATTTCTTGCCATTATTGACTTAACCATAATAAAAATGAGGAGAAATTGGCTGAAGTGCATTTGCTAGTTTTCTCTTTCATCTTCTCCAATCATTCTGTTCTGAGAAAATAAAAGAATACTAGAAGACTCATTTCACTTTGAAAACATTTTCATAGATTCCTCATTTTTAGCTCAGCAGGAGGCTGATGGTTTTTTGAGTAATAATATGAATGTCAAGGCTGAATACTCACCCTTTGAGGAGGTAATGTTAATAACCTCTTACCTAAAGCGCTTATCCTGTTTCAATGTTTCATGCAGGGATTTTTCAGCGGGTTTGATAATCTCTTGGAATACATGAATTGCACCATTCCTTCCTTGTTTACTTCCTCGAAGCATACATGCATTTTCAATGCAGATGGCCTGACAATGAAATGAAAAACAAATGTTAACCAAACTTCTCTGAAAATTTCAATTTGAAAACTTTTGAGGTGATTTGATTTCTGGATTAACCTTCATAAAGTTACATAAAACCAAGACCAGGAACAAAAATTTCCATCTTACTTCCTTTATTTCTTTCTTTAAAAACTATTTTCTATCTTCTAAAAACTATTTTTACATGACCTTCATTTCCAAGTATATGCCTCTTCTCTCCCCTACCCAGCAAGCCATTCCTAATAAGAAACATCTGAAAAGGGGGGGAGGAGTAGTTCAGCAAAACTCAAAATATCCATTTTGTATGGTGACATTTGATATATTCTGTACCCAGGGTTCCAGAGTCTGCTCCCACCATCTCCTACCTCTTCAAAAAGAAAAGGAAACTCATTCCTTACTTTCTAAGTTATCCACAAACTGGCTCCAACTTGCTTGTCTGATTTAATTAGTTATCCTTCCTCAAGTGATATCTCAAATTCCAGATTCACTCACTGAAGCATTCAGATGAAGGTATGAGCCTTCACACATCTTTCTACTCTTGTCCCTCCAATTAGGAGCATTTATTAGCAGAGTCTCAATTATAATCTCTACACAAATGTATTCATATTTATATATTCTGCCCTAATACCTCCCCAGAACTCTAGCTCTGCATCATCAAGGGCTTATTAAATATCTCCACGTGAATGTTACATACCTCTATCTCAAACCCAATGTGTCCAAAAGAGAACTAATCATCTTCCTCCTATACCTTCTTCACACTTCCCTATTTCTGTTGAGGGCATCAACACTCTTTCAGTCACCCAAGTTCTTAAGTTTAGGGTCATACGACACTCTTTTCTTTCACTACTGGTATTTAATCATTTGTGAACTCCTTTTCATTCCTCCTCTATAACTTATCTCTCATCATTGCATTCCTTTCCAAACACATCAGCCTAGTTTAGGCCCACATTGCCTTTTGCCCAGATTACTGCAATAGCCACTATCAAAATAGCTTTCCTCTTCTAATTTCTCCCCTCTCCAGAGATCCCTTCTATACAACCATGAAAATAATATTCCTAAGGCAGAAGTCTGAGCTTGCCACTTCTGTGTTTGAAACTTTTCAGTAACTACATATTGACTCAAAAAATAAAATGAAAAACTATTTGTTGACATTTAAGAGCCTCCACATTCTGGCTCCAACCTATCTTTCAAGCCCATTTTCATATAACTTCCTTTCATGCACTTTGTCTTTTGGACAAATTGGACCATTAAATAAATGTTTTTTGAACTCAACATTCTGTCTCCCTCCTTCATACACTTGCTCATGCTATTTATTCCATGCTCATCTTGTACTTCCTTCTCAACCCCACCTCTCTGAATCCCTTGAAGTGCTCTTTTCTTTGTGAATCCTTTCTAATGACCTTTGTGTTTTTTTTATCTTTTATTCCTATTACATAGTACAATTTATAAAAATAATTCAACAAGCACTAATCATGCACCTCTTGTGTTCCAGGCATTATAATAGACTTTGAGGCTAAAAATAGAAAAATGACAATATTTTGTGCCTTTAAGGAACATATTCGAGGAAGCAATATTTGCATAAGTCTATGAATATGTATGTATACTTTTTATATATGGATATACTATGCATATATATAGTATAATCTGTACATATATAGGTATATATACAACATACACATACATTTATAAAATAATAATTAAAATGGAGGTAACTATTATGAGGTTCAGGAGAAAGCCTACGTAGGACATGTCCCTTGATATGTCTTGACAGGAGCTAGAGATTCCAGGAAGAGAAGATGAGAAGAGAGGACACTGGGTCTGTGCACAGTGCTGGACACAGAGTTGGCATGCAATAAATATTTACAGATTTATTTGTTATTAAATTATATGGCAGTATAAAATAGTATCATAGAGGCAGATATGCATTTGTAATAGGAATTAATTAAAAATAAAACCTCAGCTTACTCTAATGACATTTGGGAGTTGTCTTGATTGTGGGAAGTTTCAATTCTATGTAATTCTTCTCTTCTCTGCTAAAGCTTATAACTATGCCATTTTACTCATATTATATTTTTTCATAAGTTGTAAATGGCTATAATTTCCTTCCTAAATAGGCTGTAAAGCAATCCCTATATAATATGATATGAAATTGGACATGATAGATCCATCTTGGATTAAATGAAAAAATGAAATTTTGTTTGCATATTTTGGTTGCATAAGAGGACCTATGTTAAGAGAGTTTCACTTATACATGGTTGCATCACATGGCATGTGAAGATTAGTATAGTAAAGCTTTAGTGTAGTTAGTAGGGTCAATTAATTCTAATGAATGAATGTGAATAAGCAGTCTGAGAAGTTAAAATCTAAGATGAATCACTCTGTTAATTCTGTCAACTATATACTTAAGACTCAATTTCATAGAACACTCATATCCATACTTCCTATTTCCTTGTTCCTTTTTCAAATATTTGCTATCAGAGTGACCTTAATGAAACTTTTGAGAAAGCTTTAATGGGACACCCTCCTCTCAAATGGTTGCCTTTTTCTTAATCCATGGGTTTTCTTTATAGGTACATAAAATATTAAGAATTAGAATCCCAACAGATAGTGTGGTCCAGCATATACCTAAAGCATGATTCTCTCTAGATACCCCACAAATTGTCATCCAGACTCTACTTAATGATCCTCAGTAATGAGAACTTGCCAGAAATGCGGGTATGTATAATGGAAAAATCCCCCACCAAATAGATCATGGTGCTCTAATAAATCATTAAAACCACAATCTTTTCTTAGAGTTATAAACCCATTATAGACATGCTTTTCATTTTACAAGTTTTAGGTTCTATATTACTAAAATAATCAGAGACTATATATATATATATTTGGATTTATTTTTTACTTGTGAAATCTGAGATGATTGACCTAAGATACACTAATATAAATATACCCTAAAATATATCCAACATACTATGTTCCACTGGGGCTGTCATCATCATCTGGTATTGCCACTTTTTCCTTTACCCACATTCCTTTCTTTATTCTTTTGATGAATATTATCCCTGATAGGACCACACTATTTTTGTTAGTTTGTCTGAGAAATCAAACACCTTTGATTCCAGTTTTTAACCTCATTTACTCCCTTCCCCACCACAATCTCCCTTACCGTGCGATAGACAAAAACTCTGAGCTTCTTGCCTCCCAGGGTCTCCAAATGCTGTCCATTGTAAAGCTCATTAAGGCCAACTTTCACTTCCAAAATGTGGTTTTGAAGAATTAATTTAAGAAGGTGCTGATCCATGCTCAGGGTATCATCTACAAATACATTTATTAAGAAAATGAAGACATAGTTCATGCAGAGAATATTAAGCATGATTGGAGTGCAAATTTTTGTGTAGAGTGTAATGCATTCATCTCCACATCCTCAGCATTTTAATTCACCTAATGGACAAAGTAATGGCTGGTTGTCTCAGTTGACTTGGAATTTAAAGAGACAGAAAGACTTGTATACAATGATGGAGAGTTAAGTGAGCAGAACAGAACTATTTATAGTATAATATTAATAAAAATGAACAATTGTGAAGATTTTTAGAAATTGATGAAGAATGACATAGGCAGAACTTGGAAGACAATTTATCCAATAAGTCCAACACTATAAAGACAAACAATTTTGAAAGTTGTAAGAACAAAATGACCACCCCTACATATATTTGCACACATATCTTTATATTGTGCATATGCGTATATGTGTATATATTTGTATAAAGTCAGTCAGGGAATTTATTTTGCTTCACTATGAATATGTGTTAGAAAGATTTTTTTTTCTTTTCTTTTTCTCTTTCTTTTAATTAGTTGGGAAGTGAGAGGGAAAGAAACTAGATTTGTTATTAAAAATAATAATAGAGAAAGGGTGCTATAGATGTGAAATGTTGCATTCATTTTCAGATGAGGTCACTCTATTGTTAGTCTTACTTAATTGTTTTTACTTTGTTAGAAGAGACCTCTTATAGAGAAAGGACAATCTGTGAATGTTTGTAATGTAAAAAACAAAAGACATCAATAAAACTTTCAAAAAACTAAAGTCAGGACTAATTTAGGATGGAATCTTAACTATTTCTTTTATGAATTAGTCTAGCTGTCCATAGGATAAAATCTGAATGGATAAAAATTTATCTTTGTTTTTTCCCCCCATAGAATGCAAGTTGTTAAGCAGAACACTTCTATTCATATAAGATATGGAAAAGAAAAGCACGTGAACATTTGTGATCATCTTAAAAGTTCTAAGTCTTTTTAATCAATTTCTTTTACTCTTCCAAACTCAATTTAATTAAGCAAAATGCGCATGCAGTTATGAATACAATTTTAATATTGGAGCCAGGGAGTAAGGAGAAACATACATCATGGGTTGTAGAGTACAGAGAAGAATCATACTGCACTATATACAGAGACAAGACTTGGACCACAGAGTAATTGAATCCAAAGTTTTTATCTCAGTGGGACAATTTGTAATGAAAATTCAAGAAACTAAAATGAAGAATAATTTAATAAAGATAAAACTTTAATAAGCCACCATATATGAACTCCAAAGCATAAGCAATATATAGAAATTAAATTATCCTTTTGTTAAACTTTTATCATTTTTTATCACAAGAAAGAAGTAGGAGTGTAATCAAATGGGGGGGGGGGAGCAACATAATACTCACCAGTAAAAGCATTATTTGTAGGAGCCAACAAAGTGTACTCTCCATCAGGCTTTAGACGAGAAGCCAAGCCTAGCTGGGCCATGAGATCTGTGAAAGTGGTTTGCTGTTTCCCAGCAAGTTCAATAACTTGCTTGGCTGTAATATTAATGAATACCATCATTAGATAGCTGACTACTTTCCTTTAAGTTGTCTTCAGGCTAATATTCCTAGCCATTTATTTTATCTTTTCTCCTATAACAAAGTTCCTTCTCCCCCTCCACCCCCCACCCCACATATCACCCATGCCTAGTGAGTGATTCCTTGGTCATATTTTTTGGTGTTTTACTGTCACTAGCAAGGAAACTAGAGGAAAAAAAAAACTTCTTTAAGAGCAGAGAGTGTTTTTTAATTTGTGTTTCTGGAGCCTAGAATAGTGTCTTACACATAGTAGACATAGATAAATACTTATTATGAACACAAGGAAGATGCGCTCCTGCTTGTCTGTCCACCATTCTTCATGTTTGTCCCCTGTCTGAGATTCCTTAGTTGCTATGACTATAGCAGTCTTTAATTTCTCATCATTCTGAGCCATACCCTATCAATTTTCACTCACTTTGGACCCAAAGATGGCTATAATCACTGGTTTTTATAATGCTGCTATAAAGACTGGAAGTATAATCCAAAATTAATTTACACTAATAGACCTGCAAAGCCTAGGAAAGTTATATGCAAGGACGTGCTGGTAAATGTTTGATAACAAGGCTCTCAGGGGGAAAATGTATGCATGTATGCTATTAAGTTTAATCTCTATATTGACACTTTCTTAAATCCAGATAATGAACAAGAAATCAAGTCCCAGTATAAAATGATTGCTCTTCTCTAAGGTGTAAAATGCTCACACTGAAAATTTATCAATCAGCTCTCATAGGTAAGTTAAAGCTGACTCCAGGTCCTTATGCTTTGGGTTATACAGAGAGCATATCCATACATGGAATATCCTGTAATACTATCTAAATAAAGCATCCATAACATTTATTTCACTGTTTAAGTCATGGAGGTCATTATAAAATGACCACTTATTTGACTTTCTGTCAGATATTTTACCTGACTTTTTATGACCCGGATGATACAGTGGAAAGAATGTTGGATTTGGAGTCAGAGAATCTAGGTTCAAATCTTACGTTTGTCTCTTAATGTGAATTTAGACAACTATGGGGCAAAGATTCTTCATTTGTAAAACAAGAGGGTTGGACTAGATGTTTTTTGAAAGTCCCACTCACTCTAAATCTATGATCTTTCTTATGGTTTTTTAAACCCTGAGAAATACTCAGTGGCTAAAATATGACCTCAAATTATTCCCCTGAGTTCTAATGTTACTAACTAATATTACTCATAATTATATCTGTAGCTCTTATTACAGATACAATCATTTTAAATTCCCATTTCTTCCTTTGCTATCTTGCCTTTTTCATTTTTCCTTCTTCCCAGTTGGCCCAACCCACATTTGGTTAACCATATAATGTTTTAAAGAGCTTTTCTGACAGAATCCCAATAGGCTGGATAACACAAGCAATATTATCTCTATTTTGTAGATGAGAAGATAGGTGAAGCAAATTGTTCATGGACATACAGCTTGTACAAAATAAGCAGAGACTTCTGTTTTTGTCTTGGTATTTCTAGTTCCCAGTAGCATAGAGTGGACAGCTAATTCTTTTTAATTGGATTGTTAGTTTGTATTCTATCAGGATTTGAACCTGGCCTCTTCTGACTACAAGTCCAGTGCTCTGTTGACTATACCATGTTGCCTTTCCAACCATAAGAATAGTAAGCAAAACCAATTCTTACCAGAATCAGGAATTAGCACCTGGTCAATTAAATGGATGACCCCATTATTTGTGACAATATCCTTGCGGTTTACCATTTTGACCCCATTGACTGTCAGACTTTCACCATCACAGCCAATTTCAATTGTATTTCCTTCCAGGGTCTCAAACACTGCACCACCCATGATGGCTTCAGAACATTGCAGAGTGTTTAAAATATGGTATTTCAGGAGAGCTAGAGGCCAAGCAAGAAAAAAGAAGAAACATTTAAATAATAGAATATGATACTAAAGACTTAACTGCCATTCAGAAAGAAAATTCTGTATGCCAAATAGCTGAAATCAGTAGATCATATGTACATATCGATTAATACAGGCTTTCCGATTATGCCTAACTTTTTCTAGGATAGTTATTTTCATCAACTAGAACAAAAAAAGAACTTAGATTAGTAAACAGTGGGAAGAATATAGACTCAGGAAATGACTACTGGTCCCAGGCTTTGTGTGTGGGAGTGGTGTGGGGAAAGAGGAGTAAAGTTCTAGCTGCCATGATAAAAATATTGCTAAATTAGTAATATAAAAGCAGGAGAAATTGTCTTCCAGCAAGGCCTTTAAGGGTGGAATTACTAATTAGTGATCCCAGTTCTGAAATATTCAACATCTGTAGACAGTCTGTGAAAAGGCTGAGACTGAGAAGAGATCATTGCTGTCTATGAATGCAAATAGCTTCCCCAAGGACCAAAGTTGACCTCTGGAATGTGGCATGTGGATACTTTTACATAAATAACAAGGGAATTGTTGTTGAACCTGAAGGAGTGTGTCATATTCATATGGATATGAGTGCATGAGTGTATTCTATAAAAAATGGGCATATGTACTTTAGCTTTTACTTGGGAATATCTCCATGCAAATATGTAAATTTGTTTACACATTTCTTGAGCTTAAGACCTGCAGTCCCTTTGAGAAAGTAGAAAGCTTGTAGTCTGTAAAGCCTCTCTCTGGTCTTCTAATAGTTCTTCCTACTGCATTAAATACAGTGAGGTCAAGTAAAAAAAAGGATGAATTGTATCAGACAAAATATCTTAAATTCAAATTGAAATAGGGAAAGTGACAGATAAGCCAATTTTCATTAGTGCCTGAAGAACAGGCTGGTAACTTGTTTAAGCCCTGAGGGAACCACCTGCAAGGCTAAATTCTATTTTCTAACAAAAATGAAATTTGATCAATGTGTCTAAGTGATTAGCACTCATTTAAAAAATGAATATGAGATGATTTAACATTTCTTAAAAATTCTTGCTTATCCTTTTAAAATAGTTACAGTTTATTTCTATGAAGATAATTGTGAAGGCTATGAATCCTAGGATTTGCTTTTATTTTTCTTTGAAAAAAGGTATCATTTTATTCATACATTTAAAAAGTTGTACATTGAAACTTAAAATACAGTTCCATAAAAGCTATTTATCACTGGAAAAACTGCTAGGGAAAAGGGAGGGTGTTTCCTTTTTCTGTTGATCATTAGGAAGAGTTAGAGGAATAAGCAAAAAGATAGTAATTTTTTATTTTTAATTTAAGGAACTTTTTCTAGGTACAAATTTTATAAATAAAAAAACAAATTCACAAATTTCATTGAATATTAAATAAAAAATCTACTTAACAAATTCCAACAGAATACCTCCAGCTAGCAATGGTATAGCACTTTTACTGATATGTTAAAAATTACAGTGTTCAAAGCATGCACTCATAAAATATTTCTTAGTCATTTACAATTTTTAAACTGTGCTAAAGTAGATTTCATTTATATTGATAAAACCCTCACAATGCCACAGTCTAGAAAAAAAGTAAAAGATGAAAAATAAGTCAAAGGTGTAGAAATAATTATTTTTGCAAGATACTTGGACACATGAATTATCTTTAAAATATGTAAAAACCTCTGTAAACCAGTGCTGCTGTGTCCAAGACATCTATTAAACAAAATTGTAGTAAAGGAAATCTTTTCTACCTTCTCCTGAGTGCTTAACATTAAAATAGTGCTAGGACTTACTTTTAATTCAACATTAATAGTCCATCTGCATTTCAAGGGTTTGTTTGTTTGTTTGTTTGTTTGTTTAAATGTACTTAAGAGGTTACTTAAGGAGAATGTTTTTTATGGTCCATACCCAGGCAAAGTCAAAATACTATGGGTTGTACAAGTTCATCTCATTTCTATTTCTTCCTAGAATGGCTAAGTGTGATAAAGCGAAAGAAAATTTCAGTACCTTCAGAAGCTACTTTATCCCCCATGATCCTTTCCAGCACACCTCTTGGGAGCTTTTCAAAAGCTTCATTAGTGGGAGCAAAGAGTGTGAAGTGACCATCCCTTCCAAGTGCTTCCAGTAGGTCTGATGTGATGGCAGCTGCCTAAAACACAAATGTAGGGATGACTAAAACACAAAACGTAGGAATAACCTCCTATGGCATAGTAAAATCTGATTTGATTGGCATAGTTACAAATCCTTTGGGGATTTGTTCTGTGAAGTTTGGATTCAGTCAAAGGCCCCCACCCAAGGACCTAGATGGCCACAAGTGGCCTCAAGGCTTCAGGTTCCCCACCCTTGTGTAACTAAGCCAATCAAATCAGCTTTCTTCGGTTCCTCTAATGCCTACTTTTCTCTCTTTTGTTCCTTTCTCTTTTCCTTTTCTTCCTCTTATTTTGAATCCCACTCAGTAATAAGGTATTCAATCAATACTTGCTGTATTGAATTGAATTATCATTATTATTGATCACCCAGAGGTTACTTCTTGTTCTATGATCCAATGAGAGAGGGTGAAGGATAAGAATGACACTTATCATTTCATTAATATGGGGAATCTCTAGATGAGCAAATTCCCTCCATCAATGTAGATCAATACCTTTAGTCTTAGGGAATTGCTTAGAACACTGGGAAGTTAAGTGACTTGTCCTGGTTCATTCAGCCACTTTGTGTCAGAGATTGTATTTTGAACCTGGGTCTTTCTAAGTCTTAGGCCATATCTTTACCCACTATATCAGAGCTGCCTCTAAAGATAATAATACAAAACATTTTCCAAACATTAAAACACTATACAAATGTGAGCTATTATTATGATGATGATAATTCACTTTTTATTATTTTGTTCTTATAATTTTATCTTTGAAAATGATACTATGACTTCAATTCAGGAAAAGATTTTCCTTGTTCACAGGGAAAAAAAAAAGGATGCAATTTCAAAAAATGTATTAGAAATCGTGACCAAATTTAGCAATGTTCTTAATTCCAAAAGAATTTTTAAAAGTAATTAAGATGAAAGACAATTTATTTATTGTGTTTTTCCTTATCTCCTTCCTCCACTGTCCACCCACACACACACACACTTACTCGAAAAGATGAAAGGTCATCTTCTGCCTCAAGGAAATCTTGGATGGAAGTACCAATCTGTGTTAGGACACGGTCAATAACATGGACAACACCATTTGTTGCAATCTGGTTGCCATGGATAATTCGAGCACAGTTAACTGTAACAACCTATAATTTATTATGAAAAAAAGGGCAGAATTCAGAGACACCATTAACTACCAGGCAGAATAGTTTTTGCCAATTTCTTATTGAATATATCTTAGTAAATAGTACCTCACAAAATGTTATGAAAATACCAAAGGAAATAAAATCTTTCAGTCTATTTATGAAGGCATATGTCCCTGTATGTCTACAGAAGTAAAAGGGTATAATGGAAACAACTTTCCAAATAATTCAGATGCCAGGTTGCCACTTTTGAAGACTCCATATAATTGAAATAAACATGTTTGCTTGCTTGAATTACTCAGATAATTGCCTTGATTCTTTGTTTGTCTTTATAAAGATATCAGCTATGACATTATTTTAAAATTGTTTTGTTTTCAAGAACAAAAATTTTCAATTACATCCCTTCCCTGCCATTCACATGGTCACAAGCTATTCTAAAATGATGTTTTGGCTGGTGCTCCACAAGAAGCAGCAATTAATTTACCAGGTTAACAAAGACTAAGATAAGAAACCTATCCCCAGGAAAATATAACTGGCTTTTCTGGCCACAGCTTAATTATCATGGCCCCATCACTGCTCCTCAACCTTCCTGAGATGTACTTGTTGTAGGATCCTCTGGGACATCATGTCTCACTTTCCAATAATATCTCCTTTCAAACACACAAGTTGTCATTATATAGAATGGAGAAAAAAAATGGGGATGAAAAGTACCACATTCCATCTCTGGCATTTTCACTAGGTGTGTAAAATGTTTGTCTCAGAAGTATTAACTACAACAGCTGTAGGTTCCCTGTTAAAAAAGTAATCCAATTTCACATTGATAGTGTTGCAGAAGGCAAGAGATGTGATATGTTATTAAATGTTAAATCATCATAAGGCAGAATTCAATGATTTCTTGATAATCATTTGTTAACATCAAGCTTTTATTACATTATACTTGCAATCTATATATTAAAATTAAGATGAAGAATCATGACACAACTCCAAATATCCTCACATTGATTCTTTTGAATATATCCAAACATATGCATAGGCTAGGAACTAACAATCCAGAAAAGTGTAAGACATTTAAATCAAACTTACTCCGTTAGAATAATGATTAATAAAGAGCCCAAGATTGTTGTACATAGAGGGAACAATCATCCCATTTTTCAAATCCTTGGTCAACATTCTTTTGTTTACCATATGGCTATGTAAAGCATTCAACAATTCAACATTGACATTGCTCTCCAAACCCCTACGGATATCCTGGAGAAAGAACAAAATGGTAGAAATGTGGTTTATTAATGATTATTAAAATTTTTGACATGTAAATCATACTAGTTCTGGTCTTTTATTTTTGATTGCAGCATTCATTTGTTAAAGTAAAATTGACATAAATATAATTTAAAATTACATAAGAATGCTCACTCCAATTAGCAAAAATCAGTAACTACATTTACAACTTGTTAAAATTGGCCTATTACAGTGCCTGGCACATGATATGCACTCAAGGAATGGCTACTTAATAAATCTGAGTATAAGATAAGCACTCATAAAGGAGAGTTAATTCTTTTGTGCTAAATGAGAAAAATATTGATAATAATTTTTTATTATTATATTTATTATATTATTGTATAGAAACTTAATGATAATTTTATTGTTATAGTATTTTATAGTTTTCAAAGACCTTTCACTTACAGTATCTCAGATGTGAATTCAGGGACCTGTGAACCCTAAGAATCTGCTTAGGTATTATCTAATGATTATAAATAGCTTTAATCTAACTCATTTTTATCTGGAGTGGTGAAGATAAGATATTTTAACTCCATTTTATAGATATGATGCATAGATTCTTAAACTCTATGTCAATGTTTTTAAATGAAGATATCTAAGACAAAAATTCAGGACTTCTGACTACCTAAATAAATTACTATATGCTATTTAGCCTCCCTCATTTTTTACCTATACACGTTTTTTGACCTGACCTATGAATTCACTTGTATAAGGAACTCCCAGTAAAGAAACTACCTCTGCCAATACAGGTTCACCTGATCTGAAACTTACAATCTCAAAGACTTCCTTGGGTAACTGGGGATTGAATGATCCCTGCATTATGCAGCTATTTTTTGAGAGAAACAGGACTTGAACTCATATCTTCTTGAATCCAAAGCTTGCTCTCTAGCCATTATCTGACATAACCTCTCATCTATATGCACATTCAAAAACCTTGCAATTAGGTTATTTTCTAAAAATACCGTGTTTTCAAAATTTATTTGTCCTGAAAAATATGTATTGAACTAATTATACCTTATTAATACCTTCTAATTAGTACTTCAGCTGCTTAGTAAAATTACATCAAAAGCCTCTATAAACATCTCCCCCCTACCCCAAAACAACAACAACAACAAAATTAACCAAGAAGAAGAAATACAGATAAAATTTCCTTTGGGTAAACTCTCTGGCTTTTTCTTTGCTCTACCATTTTCATCCTATAGGCCCTGAACATGTAGACGCTTTCCTTTTTTTTTTTTTTTTTCAATCTTTGTTAAAGGTATGCAACTGTCTGTCTATATACCTTTGTGTTTGTGGATGTTCACCTATGTGCATATCACAAATTTTAAAATATGAAATTCAAGTATTTTTTAGTTTCAGGTTTATACATTATTGTAATTTTTTGTTTGTTTTGGAGACAGTTAGGTTAAGTGATTTGCCTAGGGTCATACAGTTAGTGTCTGAGGCCAGATTTGAACTCAAGTCCTCCTGATTCCAGGGCTAGTGCTCTATCCACTGTGCTACCTAGCTGCCCTCATCATTATTAAATATATAAATTAAACATCATTGAATGTCAAGAAGCATTAGTAGTAATAGTAATAGTAATAATAATAACAAAAACAATAATAATAATAAAGATAAGCAATTACAGAATCCAAGTTGTCCCAAGCTTCATTACTTGGTGCAAAGAAAGTAAAGGATCCTTTTCCTTCAATCTCTTCTCTCAGTTTTGACACATCAGAATATCCTTGAGTTGTAGTAGCTCCCACAATGCCCAGGGTGCCATAAACATGGTCAATAGGCAAAACTGAAAAAAATTTAAGATAATAACATGCACTTTAGTATAGTATTGATAAAGCATTCTACTACTATTATCTTAACTTTATCTCATGTAACAAAATTCATTTAATTTTATCTGCTTCAACAATAAATCATACTTAGCATGAAATGAAAGTTGGCCTCTTGCCTTTACATTAAAAAAATGTCATATGGAACTGTAAGCAGAATTTGAATGAAGACAGAGATGACATATATATCAAACATATAGACAACACAAATTGCGGGCCGTAGCTAATACACCGAATGACAGAGTCAAGAATTAATAAGGTCTTGCTGGAATGAAATAATGGGATCAAAATCAACAAGATGAAACCTGACAGGGATGATAGAATGGGAGCTCGAAGGGACCTTAGCAGTCTCCTAGTCAAGTCATCTAATGTTCAAATAAAGAAACTGAATCCCAGAATGCTAAAGTGACACAGGCAGTGCATTTCTAAGGCAGGATTCGAGGCCAGACCCAGGCCCTCTGATCCCAAAGCCAATGCTCTTTTTACCATATCATTTTCCCATCCTTAATATCAAGTTCAAGACCACGATTAGGCTAAAAAATGAATTACAGAAGAAATAAATGAGCCAGACCTGAATCAATAGTCATTCATATGAAAAGAAAGTCCTAGTGTTTTTAACCGATAAGAAGTTCAGTAGGAGATAAAGTTATGACATAACTTGTAGAAAACTTAATATGTAGTCCCCAGGACAAGGGAAGTACTTATCTCTGTACTCTTCATTAGTCACACAACAGCTGTACTTGTCTGTCACATTTTAATCGGTGCCCTGACAATCCAGAGCCTATCTTAAAGTGTCTGACTGGCTTGCTGAGGATAAATCATGATATGAGTATCAGTATGGATTCGAGCAACTAGGTGTTGCAGTGGATAGAGTACTGGCTTTGGAATCAAGAAGATCCAGATTCAAATCTAGCCTCAGATACCCACTAGTTGTGGGACCCTAAATACTTCACTTAACTGCTCTCCGTCTCAGTTTCTGCATATGTAAGATGGGGGTAATAATAGTACCTACTTTCTAGGCTTGTTGTAAGGATAAAATTAGTTAATATTCATAAAGAACTTTATAATAAATAATACTAAATATTGTTATTGTTTGCCTATCTTCAAATATCTGAGAGACTTATATAGAAGAAGAAATAGGTGTATTTGTTGGGGTTTTTTTTCTGGAAGGTAGAACTAGGTGATCTATGAAAATTATAAGGAAGCATATTTTGGTTTGATAAAGTCTAACAATAAAAATATTTTTAAAAAAAGAACAGGGTACTTTATTAAATAATAGATTCCCTGTCATTATACGTGGTCAAAGATTGTCAGGAAGTCTCACTGCCTGGTGTATTTTATTTAGATCGTTTCTGCATTGGGAAGGTGATTGTATGAGATGACCTACAAGGTTTTTGTTGGAATGTAAGGCCCTTGAGAATAGCCATTGTTTCATTCTTTGACTTTGTATTCTTAGGTCGTAGCATAGTACCTGACACCTTGTAGTTACTTACTAAATGCTTGTTGCTTTAATAAATGATATTTAATGAATTTGAAACAAAATGAAAATTAATCATTTGATTCAGAATGAGAAGGCAAAAAGTAAGTATAATCTCTAATAACCATACCAATGGAATCACAGATAAATCTGATTGACAAAGCTAAAGCCTCCACTCAAAGTCTGGGCAAAATTGACTCAATATACACAATGTCTCAAAGATTTCACATTCTGAAATGCATAGTGTGATTATTTCATTCGTGGAAAAGTCTATCTAGCTTTTCCTCCCCAAATGACATTGGCTTTGTATATTCCTCAATTTCCCCCGCAAGATCTACTCCATGTTGAAATTCTGTAATTGATATTTTACCTGCTGGGCAGCCTTCCATGCCTTCCATTTTCATGTAGCCAGGGCAACATTCATATACCACAGTCCTGTATGCAAGAGAAAGGGAAGAAATCAAATAGGGGAAAAACTAGAATTGGCTTCATGAGCATTTTTTGCCCCATGGTTTTAGTTGACAAGTTAGGTAACATTTTTGTCCCTCTCTAGTACATAAATTACTTTGCTCTAGTACATTTAAAACTTAAGAAGGAACATTGACTTTTCAGGACAGCAGAACATCTTTTAACAATAAAATATCATGAGGAAGAACAAGTTAGTTCCTAAAGTGGATTAGTTGATTTCAATAATTCAAACTCATTATCAGTATTTAGAGCTTAAAGAGAGACAACAAATATATCTCTATTCAGCTGTATTTGTATAGAAAAAGTGAGAAAACCAAATGGCAGATGAAATTTAAAACTGACTAAAGAGCAATAAACTTCAAGAAAATGCTTTGATGTTCAATATCAACAAATTAAATTGTGCTTAGTTCAAAGGGAATTCATAGAATTAGGTAATAGACATAATTCAAACATGAATATTTAATGTTGTTGCAACTTTCTGGTTATTTCAGGTAAAATTATTGTTTCCCAGAATAAAACAAATAGTGGTTACAATTCTCCATTTCTTTCTACTAATACAGAGCTGACCTTTAGTTTATTAAATTCCATTTGTTAACTAAATCCCTGGGGATTTTAAGGGCCTAACCTAGAAAATTTACTTTTAATTATAATGAAACTGCATTTTTGACAGTTAATAGAAACTTGGAGTGGGATGATGCATCAGTACATAATTACACGAGGAGGGAATATTGATGCATAAGGAAAAAATACAAAAATCCTCTTGGGAAAGAAAAAGAAAAATTTCTGTAAGTCACTATGCTAGAAAAGTCTTTGTAGATTCAACACTACATCAATAATTTAATATATTTTGTTCATTTATAGTTTCATTGTTCTTTGCTTGTTGATTAACTGATTGAATTGTTCTACAGCATATCAGTGATTGCTATTAATAGTGCCATGTTAACAAGAGATTTGAAGCATTTGGAAGAAAAATAGCAAAAATATTCTCATTAATAAACTTCAATAAAATAAGGAAAGTGTCATTTGTAATGGTAACAGCTCATTTAGCTGTTATCAGATAGCACCAGTTATAACAGCTGTTTTTCTTTTAATAGCAATAAAGAAGGTCAATAGATTAATGTTCTCCAAATTGGGGGGGTAGGGTTAATTATGCTACTCCTAGCAATTTAGAGCTCCTTGTCTGAGCCTTGATCTGGTTTTGTGTCTGTCTTTTCTTAGCTGTAGTGGTTTTATGTAAAACATCTGGAACAATTAGAGTGGATGGGTGAAGAAGACGGGGAGGGGAAGAAAATCAGCACATTGCAACATACATCTTACACTGTAACTCTAATTTGAGAATTCCCTGAGTTTAAACTACATTGTGAAAACATAAAACATATATGTAAACCCAATGCAATATTGTTTTGGCCCTCTGAACTATTATGTGAATACAGGGGTTCATCTGTATGCACCAAATAACTGGATGAAACACTCATTAGCTTTGGACTAAACAACTCATTAAATCTGTTTTCTTTTGAGTGGATGGAGAAGCCATTCTAAGAGGTGACTAAATGTTGGAGATTCAAAGATGTAGTTTCTACTTAAAGTACAACATTGAAAAAACGTCATAAGATGCTATTATCTTTTGAAAATACATACATACACACACATACATATATACATACACATTTATGAATACATACACTTTCTCCTATATTTGAATTCCCATGTATTGCCCCAGAGGAGTTAAGGTTCATTGTGAGTTCTTTGCTACTTTCTGGAAAGCTCTAGATACCTAAGTCTCTATTTTAAGGAAAAAAAAAAGAATTCCAGTGCCTTTGGAGCGAGGAGTTTTTAAGCAACATGAGGCCAGTGAGGTCAATGTTGATAAGGAAAATCAACCTCAACCTTCATTTAGCATCATATAAGAGGTACAGTGAAAGGAACAAATGAGGATCTAGGCTCAAATCTTTCCTCTGACACTAGATGACTTGGGGATGAAGAGGGGGTACCTTGACGCCTCTGGGCCTCATTTGTAAAATAAGGGACCTAGCCTAGGTGGCTTCTAGACTCTCTCCTGTTATTAAATTCAAGACTCCATGATCCCAGAGATATTTATTAGTTTTCTGAAGATTCTACAAAACCTCATGAGAAGATTTTCCCAAAAGGCTTATGTCATGTACTAAGTCCACATAGACTTTTTCGCCATTATATAATGTTAGGTGAGTATATTGAATCTTTGAAGACCTTGCCTGTATTATAAAACATGGAAGATCTTGATTTAGCTTTACTCCCAAATTTTCCAAATGTGAATTCAAGCAGAAGTCTTCCATTTATGTCACCTTGTGTTTTGTATCACATCCTAAAGATGTCTTTGAAAACTTGAATATAAGTTAATGGATACCAAACACTGAAATATTGCTATCAGTATTGTTTATTTCTTCTGTTTTGTAAATTTGGATGTACATTAAAGCATGGGTTTTAATGTGCTCATGAAAAAGACATGGTTTCTCTGAAGCTCTTGGCATAATCAAGAAAAGAGACAGAGTGAAAAAATGAACAAAGAAGACACTGTTTTTATTTTGGAAAAATGCCTGACTCTCAAGCAGTCCTTTGATGGAAAGCAAGATTGTATTTTGGCATTTGCTTTATTCAAATCTTGGCATTTTTGCTGTATTTACATGATAGGAGTGAGATTATACCATACCTCAATATCTTCTGGGCAGAGTACCATAAAGATTTCTCTTTATAGAATGTTTTATCTTTCTTATCTAGTAGTTGAGTTTTCCAAGTAAGGCTCATGCCATTCAAGAATAAAGAGTAAGGAAAAATCCAAAACCCAGTATTTGACAATAGAACCTGAACTAGCAGTAACAAGTCCAATTTCATTCTATTCAGGCACTTAAAATGGTCTGTTTGATTTCTCAAACTAGACTAGAATTCTTTGGTGATATAAGAATAATTCCAGGGCCAGAGGTCTGTTAGTTGAAACCCTAAGAGGTCCTTGGTTAAAAAAAAAAGTTTGAAAATGTAATAAAAATCCTATAGTGCTCTTGACTTGACCTTTATCATTTGTCTTTCATCCCTCTGGACAGGTATGTACAAAAAAATATGAGGTATAGGGGAATAGGGAATTACTTATACTGTACTACTTGGGGAAACTTGTTTGCTGAACACTCAGGTACAATGTTATCAGAAAGTCACAGAAACATGAAATAACAATTTCTAGGTTCTTCCATCTTTCACTTTTGAAGTTCAAAAAAGTTAAGAATTTTAAAGTACATTTCTATTTGTTGATTACAAATGGGCATGTGTCTATTAAATGACCTTTAGCCAATTAATTTTTAAAATGTATTTGTGGTAATATTCTCTGAATTTTAAAAATTAGAACTTATGAGGCAGGCTAGCTGGTGAAGTGGGCAGAGCACTGTGCTTAAAGTCATGAAGACCTGAGTTAAAATCTGGCCTCAGACTAACTATATGAATATGGGCAAGTCACTTAACCTCTGTTTCCTCCTCTGTAAAATGAATATAATAGCACTTACGTCCCAGGGCTGTTGTGAGGATCAAATGAGATAGTATTTGTAAAGCAGTTAATAGTGCCTGGCACATGGTGTTATATAAATGTTAACTATTATTATATTCAAAACATAACTACAATAGTATATAGTCTTCTGTCTTGTATTATGAATGCTCCCCCAGCAACTGAAAATTTCTTCCTGTTTGCTAAATGTAATACCTATTTTTGCCTTGGCAGTTTTGAAGAGAGGAGATAAAATAAAACCATGAATCTTCCTCAATTAAGGTTAAGGATTTGGTATTTTACAAACTGTATTAATTTTCTGTTTAAATTTATTAATAGGAATGGTAGTGGCCAAGGCAATAATGTGGAACACATATATCGCAAAATGTGATCTCTCAGGAGATTTGTATTTGTATATCATTGTGTTTGTATTTGTATATCAATGTACAAAGGAGATTTATGTTTGTATATCAATGTACATTTTCTTTCCATTGAAGCATGTAAGTCACTTAATACTATGCCATTAAGAAACTGATGTCACTCTTTCTTCACATATGTAGGTTTATGATAACTGACATTTATATAGTCCTACTCCCCAAAACTATAAGTTGCGGAACAGCTGTTGGTAGAGGGAATTTCACAGATCTGATCCAAAAAATTTTTTTAAATGATCAAATTAATCAATCATCCACCTTTCCTCTTCATTTGAGGATATGTGAATGTATCTCAATTATCTCAGTGTTAGAGATTTTGAATTAAAGTTCACCTTAGAGGTGATTTTTATAATACTAAGAAGCAAGTAAATGCATATTGCATTCATTAGAGTATTTTAAATTCAGTTCAATTTATCATCTTTCTGCTGAATAAAATTGCACTGAACAGTTTGAGTAGCCCCACTGGAATTGTCATAGAACATAATAATGGCAATGGAGAAGAGTTCACTACACTCAGGATGAATGTTGGGATAGCGAGTAGTACTTTGAATTTAAGGTATGTTGCAATTTAATGAAAAACTAATAAGATGATCACTTTTTGCAGTTGTGATTACTAGGATACAATTTTAAGGGTAAGAGGAGCAAATGAATCTTCATCACTCAGAAATGGATGGTACAATTCTGAACCAAGAGCTCTCCTTTTCATTGTCAGAACTATCTGTTATACTGTGATTAATAATATCCCATAGAATAAATGTAAATATGTATGCATATCATAATAATGAATGTGATGGGCATCATTAAACCCCAAATTAGACCTTATCCTTACCCAAAGAAATGTGGTAAATGGAGCAACACATAAAAGCATATTGAAAAGGTTTTTTATTTTCTTAACAACATTTCATTGGCATAGGGGAGTCCTGTTAGAGAAATTCCCTATACCAGGGGTGGGGAACCTGTGACCTCCAGGCCACATGTAGCCCTTTAGATCCTCAAGTGCGGCCCTTTGACCAAATCCAAACTTCACAGAACAAATCTCCTTAATAAAAGGATTTGTTCTGTAAAACTTGGACTTAGTCAAAGGCTGCACCTAAGGATTAGAAGGCCACAGGTGGCCTCGAGGTCTCAGGTTCCCCACCCCTGCCCTATACCAAAGATCAACCATTGTTCTGCAACCTAAAGTTTTTACCTGGGCCACTGAGAGGTGGAATGACTTATTTACCCCGGATTAAATAGCCAGGATGCATCAGATGCTTTACTTGAACCTAGGACTTCTTGATTCTGAGACTAGTTTCTATATTTTCTGGGCCACGCTTCTTAGATTTGAAAGTATACAAAAGTATACACTGAAATAATTTACTAATTACTATATTCTAATGCCTTGAACATAGTAGAATTTAATAAATACGTGTTGAATTTAATTAAAGAGAACAGTCCATTTTGAGTTTTGGAGTTGTTCTACCTCTCCAAGGAATTCTGGAGGACCCATCTATATCCACTGTGTACTATATTAAAGAATTCAGTAAGAAGTTATTTTATTAAGGTAAGAAATTTAGCTTAAGAAAGTTTGGCAAAATATTAAAAGTCTCTCTTTTTGGAAATAACTTTAACTCCTATTCAGCCTGATACTCAGAGTGAATGGGTTGTAATAAAATCCTAAGAGGAAGTCTCTTTCAATTTTCATAGTAGCACACATGGGCTATGATCCAAGGCAAGAACGCAGCAGAGTTTAACATATATAGCTCATCGGATCATACATTTAGATTTGAAAGGGACTAGAGAGTGGTCATCTAGTCCAATCTCCTTATTTTACAGATGTGAAAATTGGGGTCCAGACTTGCTCAAGATCACATATGTAGTAAAACTCAGACGTAGAAATTGAACCAAGTTCCCTTGACTACAAAGCCCCTAGTCTCTTATGATTTTTTCTCTGATGGAATGATACTAATTCATCCAGAAGTACTGATAAGCACTTCTTTCCTGATTATCATAATAACTTTTTTCTGAAGGATCTCTAACACTTAAAATGCTCTGAGACTGTAGGAGCATAGATTCAGAGCTTGGAGGGATGGTATAGGTCATCTTATTCAACCTCCTCATTCTACAGATGTAAATAATTAGAGTTAGAGATATTAAACAACTTTTTCAAGGTCACAACAGGTAGTAAGTGGCAAAGTCAAACTTTGAATCCTGATCTTTTGACTTCAAAGTCAGTGTGATTTCTACTGTACTGCAATGAATCATTCTCATTCCTAGTAGTTTGAAAATTTGCTTGAAAAGTGAAAAAAAATCAATGAAGGCATTATACATCATATGTATTATATGTAGATTATATGTATGTATGTATAAAAAAGAATCCTAGGTAATTCTATTGAAACTTCTTATCACAATTTTATTTTGCCTCAATTGTCTGTATAATTGCTTCAGCACTTATTTTAGAATCTGTACGAATGAATACTGGTCTTGTTTATAGAACAGCTCTTGAAGACAAAGAATCTCTTTGAATCTCTTTTGCTTCAGTCTATTATTTCAGGTAAATTGATATTTGGTCCAAATATCTGTATCATTATTCAATCAGAAAAAAAAAGGAATGGAAGTGAAGTTAGTGACCATTTTAGAGGAGAGAAAACTGAGGCACAAAAACTTTTTGTGACTTATCCAGCGTCATTATCCATAACTAATAGCAAATCAAGGGTTAAGGGATTCAGGTGTCCTGAACTGAGCCCAGGACTTTTTGTCCTAAGCCATATGACTTCTGTCACTCTACATCTCCATTCTGGGAGAAATCTGACTTCCATTAATATCATTCATAGTGATGTTTTTGTCTGAAAACTGGCATTTATTTTTGCATTTGGGAGTGAATGTGGGGGCTTGTTCAATATATTTTAAAAGTATAGTGTGCCCTCCATCCCTTTTCTTTGAAATGCATTCTGCCAAACTGGCTCATTGTGAAAGACATGCAACTTACGTTTTCTTCCCACAGATGGCTCCTTGATACCAGTTTCTGCAAGTGCTGAAGTATTTCTTTTTAGTGCCCAGGATCTGTTGAAGGGCACAGACATTTGGGCTAGAGAATGAAGGAAAGAAAAGAGAGTTAAAGTCACAGTGCCATCCATTTCATCTCAAACTCTGGCACTAAAAACTAACATGTGGCTTTCATTTCCAAAAGCAGATGGGATATTCACCCCAGCACAGTTGCAGCTCTTGACACTATCCTGCTGGACCCCTAGAAGAATTGTCCCTTCTCAGAGGGGAGGAGACAATTTCCCTGCTGAGACAGAGTACTACTGCAAAGACTGTCAGGTCTGAACAATCTGGTTGTCTCATGTATTGTGCATTTTATTTTCACATACGATGTGTGCTTGCATTTCTGTGTATGTATGTATGTATGTAGGTGTAGACACACACACACATTGCTGAGAATCTCAGCTATTGCATTTGAGTTTAAAAGAAAAAAAATATGATTAGTACTGTGGCTCTGGAACAACCAGATGGCAATGGAAGACACATGAACTCTTTCAATGTTTCCAAAGATATCATGCTCCTTGATTTAGGCAGATTGCCTCTGCGAGGAAAACCACATATTTCCAAATAAATGGTCAACTGTTCGTGGAGGAGCTAGTGGAAAGCCAATAGGAATATTTAGGTCAGAAGCTTCATAATGGGAAAACCTTTATAACACTGCTGGTTCAAGCAGAAAATGAATGTTTCTTTTTGACATGCATACAATGGATCAGAAAATATTCTGTTGCTATTTTCTGTTCCAAATGGATTTCTCATCTGAAGCTCTGATATCATCTCTTCGGCAGAATTAGTGAACATGTGAGCACTCTGAAAAATCCCTCTGCGACATAGTCAGCAGTGTTCAATTCCATTTCAAGTCGAAAAGTCATCATTTTCTTGGTTCCCTTGTCATATTAAACTGCCTAATTTGAAAAGAAGGGCCAAGTCAAATTTGAGTGCCATGGCAGGAAACGTGACTTACTTGTATTGTTTTTCTTGGACAGGGGCTTTTTAACTTCTTCAAATTCAACGCAGGCAAAAACTCAGAGGAAGCTAGTTATATTGCACTATCCTGTTCTCTTCACACACACATAGCCTGCTAAAACAAGGCAAAGAAACTCTAGCCTATTATAACCTTTCCTTAAAATGAAGTGAAAAAACTTAGATGTTTGTAAAAGCAGATTCTTATGCAGGTTTTTAGTTTGATACTCCATCCAAGGTTTTCAGAAAGAATTAAAAATTAGACCTTTTTTATAGTGGAAAGATATATGTTGTTAATTAGATTTAAGAACCACACAACATTTCCTAAAAATGTGTTCATCTTAAAGTCTCCGGATGTAATTTTTAAAACATGAATTAAACACACTAAGTACAGTCGTAAATTGGCATTTTTCCTTTCAAGGATTAAACTAGAGTATAGGAAAGAAATTTTACTTTCTTCCTCTACTTTACTTTTTGCATGGAATAAGGTAAAACAATAATAACAATAATTAAATATTAACTTACCCTTGTTTCTGACCCCTGATACGACTATGGAGTAAAATCTTGTCATAATGAGCAGTGGAGTCTGCAAACTCAAGTGTAGACAATAAGAGTGTGAACAATATGGGTAGAAGAAGTATCATCTTTAGTCGCCTTGTCGCTTCAGTTAGTCAAGAAAGAGAACTGGCACTGAGTTTTGGAGAGCTCAGGGTTTATATACATGTCAGAGAGTTGTGGGAGGGAGCAGAGTATCAACCTGAGACTCTGAACACTCTCCAAGAAACATCAGCAACTTCCAACTGCCAGTTTCAATCAGCTTAAGTTAGCTGCACTCACTAACCATACACAGTTTTCTTTCCCCCTCCTGGTGACTATGAAGTTTTCCCCTTTGCAATCAGAACTTCATGTGACTGCATGTTTAAATCTGTGCTCAGACTTTTGTACTGTATTGGGATTTTGCAAAGGGAAAGCTTTTTGGAACAGTTCAGCACACTATTCTACATAATTCTATTGTTTTTGGATATGTGGGGATGCTCCAGGGAATAATCATTGGACCAGAGGTGGAAGTGTATTTTTATCCCTTCCATCTTCTAGATAACTCCTCATCCTTGAAATGTTTTGCCATGTTGGCCAGCAGAGATCAAAGATAGGTGGTAAGTCTTTTGATCCTAATTGGAAGACATGTAAAAAATTAATTTTAAACTTCATATTCTTTCCTCATGCTCTTTTAGCCTACTATCTTTTTAAAGTTGACTGAAAACCAAATCCAAGATTTTCTACTTCACAGTAAATGGGAAAGGGGAGGAGGGATGGGAGAAATCTCTAAATGTAACTTACCCTGGGAAAGTATAATCCAGGCAATAAACAGTTAATGAATATCCACAAGGACAGTTAGATGGCACAGTGGATAGAATACTGGGCCTGATGTCAGGAAGATGAATCTTCCTGAGTTCAAATTTGGCCTCAGACCTTAGCTGTATGACTTGAGGCAAGTCATTTACCCCAATTTGCCTCAGTTTCCTCAACTGTAAAATGAGCTGGAGAAGAAAATGGCTAATCACTCCATTATTTTTGGCCAAGAAAACCCCAAATGGGGTCACAGAGAATCAGACGTGACTGAAATGAATGAACAATAGGACACCTACATCTGCCATTTTTTCCTGAATTAGGAAATGAGGCAGAAGGGATTTTACCTTATATTATGTTTTATAACTTATTTCCCATAAACTTTATACCATTCAGCTTGAACACACACGCTGACAGTCACTGGACAAAATCAGGCCTGGTCTAACACAAATATTAGTAATCTAAATAGCAGAGTGAGCCAAGATGGGATAAAATATGACAAAGGGAGTAATAAAAATAAAAAAATCACTTCTCCATTGGGTTGTGTCCAACAGTGCAACTCTTCTACATTAACCCTTTTAGGCTCCTGACAAGGGAATATGCATATGCCTTGCCACTTAGTTTGTCATCGCTGGTGTTGATAAGCAAGGTTTGTAAACTCAACTACCTGCCAAGAGAGACAAGACGTCATTAAATTCACAACAGCTGATTTTTATCAGACTATTCCTTATTTACCCTATAAATTTAGTTCCTATACCTAAAAATACTTATTGAAATAAGTTATTTTTAAATTAAACCTTAATTTATGAATACGTCCCTCCCCAACCAGACAACTCATGATAGTCTTACTGCATTTTTTTTCAAAATTTTCTCTGTGGAAACATGCTTACAAGGATTATCCTTGCTGTTGTTCACTTGGTATTTGTTTCTTCTATGTCATGTGATGTACTTCAGCAGGGAAGAAGCGATGGTACAGGAACTATTCTTCCATACCTTCTCCATTCAAAAGGCCCAAAAGAGAAAACAAGGCCAAGCGGAGGCTGATAACCCATGTTGTCAACAGGTTTAGGGAGTAAGGACAGTTAAAATCCAAGATTCTTAATTGGAAATCTTGCCCTTCAGTTTCTGAAAAGCTAAGGGCGCTATTTAGCGTAGCCCCAAAGTGATAAAATTGCTGCTTGTATGTCTGGGTTCTCTTTTCTTGAAAAATGATAGTTTCAAAAATATGCATCTGCCTCCCAAGGAAAGCTAGTGAGAGAGAGAGGAATAAGGGAGACAGTTATGAAAGTAAGGAGTACAGCAAGTCCCTTCTGTATATTGTGTGAATCACAACTGGTTAGAGAATCTTACTGTATACATGCCACTCTGGATTGCTGTTTTTTTTTTTCCAAGCCATACTAGGTTAATTATTCCTCTCTTTTAATTTCCCATAGGACTTTGATACTAATTTTTCCCTTTCATTAAGTGGAGATATTATCTTCGTTAAGCCTAAGAATCATTTGTCATTTTTATCCTTCTTGTTCCATCCCTTTCCCCTCCCCACACACTAAATGTGCTATTTTGCAAACAGTAGGTACTTAATAAACTCTGGTTGAATGACTTACTAGTGGATTGTAAAAATCAAAGCTATGAATATGCAGTACTTTTACTGTTTGTTTGGTGCTTGGTAAAATACATACATAATCCGGAATTTCTAAAATTTCCCCCTCAAATATAGAGCCATAGAATTAGAATTGAAAATTTGTTAGCCATCATCTAGACTCACTTCCTTCCTAATGGAAGAAGTCAGTCTACAACATCCCTAGTAGGGGATTGTGCAGCTTCCACTTGAATATTCTCAGGGGTGGAGGACCTTGTGACGCTGTCAATTCCACAGTTAGTCTGAATTGTTTGAAACTTCTTCCATACACTGATTTGAAGTCAGTTATAACTGTGATATACATAAAACCTAATTATTAGGTGCTAGAAAAAGGAGCAAAAGGGAAGTCCAGGGTCACACAATGCATCTATCAATGACAGAGATGGAATAAAATTCTCTTCAAATGAAGCCCAACACACTGACAACTCCCATGTAGCAGCCAGAAGATTCACGAATTTTCAGCTGTGTTTGGGCTTTTCATAAAAACACTAGTAGCAAAATTGGAAATCAATTGGCAATTTCGCAAAACCAAATTCCATATCAAGATTATTTCATAATTGTACCTCGAGCCTGAAAACTCATAGTTGCTTTGGCCTTTGGAAACAGTGCCTTTTCCCTTCACCCTATCTCTCCTTCCCAGTAGATAAGGGATGTAGGGAACTTTTCCATTTCTGTAGTCTTTTTGTGCTGACTTCTTACACCTGCCATGACAAAGGTAGGTGATACATGAAACTTCAATGCGTCCACAGTGAATAGGGCCACAGGGCTACTAAGCACTGGAATGCCCATTTGTGACCAGGCAACTTCAAAAGCCTTGAAGGAGGCTTTCTACCCTCTCTTAACAGAGAGGAATAAACACTGACAATGTATCACATTCTCTATGAGAGAACTGATAAATTCATTGTCCTATCTTCATTGAAATAGTTACTAAAAGAGTAAACATTTAAAAGTTGTAATAAAACATATTAAAAGTTCAGAGTTACTAGCAATTGGTTTTCCTAAGATACTGAGTAATTAATTTAATTGGATAAGTATCCCCCTTTCAAAGACATTCTCCATCTTTTAGGGGAATAAGAAGTATTAAAGGGACTCCCATTTGGGAGAAAGAATCAACCTGCTATTCATTCATTCAATAACAAGGATAGTAAATCCATTTTTATTTCCCTTTATCCTCAGGGGCCACATTTTGACCTCCCAGGGTTGGAAAAGCTTAGCCCAATGATGTTCACCACTTAGGAAAAATAAATTCTCTATTATGTGAGAGGGAAGAATAATGTGTCTGAAAAACAGGAACATTTTTTTTTCCAACAGCCAGATGTCATTTCCATCAATTATCTCTTGGATCCTAAGCAGGCCTGGTGGCCTTAGAGTTTTTGTCATGCTGGGTTTCACTTCACCAGCTTACAGGCGATCTGCAGCTACCTCTGTACAATCTGAATTCAAGTAGAGGGTTGATGATTGTCTGGTGACCTTGGATTATCAAAACTAGGTAACTCAGAAATCAAAGGGGATTTTTTTTCTTTATTTATGCATCTGAGGGAAAAAAATGACTGTTACAGTGGCATCTTGGGCCTTAAGGGGACTGTTGGTAGTTCCTGAACTTCCACATTGCTGTCTGCTATAAAGGCAGGATGGGAGGTCTCTGGAAGAGTTCTAATTTATTTTACCCTCTATTCTTCCCAATTTAGAGCTTGTGACTGTGAGTATTTTAAAGTTTGAAGTCAATAGTATAAATTTTAGAGATAAAGCCCTTCAAACAGAGTCCAGAAGAGTTATTTCTGTACCTAGTATAGTACTAACACAGTCTAGAACAAGTGCTAGAAAATATAATCTTTAGCTAGAATATAGAAATGATCCTGGGGCAGCTAAATAGAATATTGATGAAAAAAGCTACTGGGAGTGGGAAGAGGGTTGGGAAAGGGAGCAAATCAGGGTCAGGCACAGGAAGCAAATGATCTGATATGTAACCAGAAGGAAAGTGCTCTCTGGAATCATCCTTTTTTCACACTGTCTTGCTAAGTGCTAAACTCTGTTATTTCTTCCACTGAAGGAATACAATTTATCAGTAACCTCTAAACTTATCACCTTGGAACAAAGTCCTAGTGGCCTTGTCCTAGGTAACAACTTTGTCTCTAAGCACTTCAAACCAATCCTCAACTAGTTCTTTGATTATTAGTTTGGGGATTTTAGAACTCCCTCTTGTCTGACATCCTGGCTCAAAACCCTCTTCTCCCAGGGAGAGTAGGAAAGTGTTTATTGAAATGAAGAAATTAGTCCTCTCTTTAGGGCCATTCCTGGCTGGAGGGGGAATAAGTTATGAAGCAGATCATATTATGTTACTGACCTCCTTCCACACATATAAATATTTTAGTCCAGGTGAAGTAAAAATGCATAACAAAACAATGCATAGCTTGAAGTAGTGTATGCAGAAGGAGAGGAGGGGGCTGTTCAAAGTCCATCAAAGTCCATCAACTTGTCCCTTGGTGATGTGTTAGTGATATCACAAAGCGAATATAATGATAGGAACGTAGGCTCACTTGCCAATCTCCCTACCTTCTTGCTACTGATTGCCACCTTGAGTTATTTCCCTTAAGCATTACCCTGGAGCCCAGGGTAGTCAGCCCAGTTTGTAAATGTTCACTATTTCTTCCATCTTATTCTATTTTTCTGGCCTACTATAAATAAAAATAAACTTACTTAGAGAAAAAAGGAAATGTTTTTCCCCTCCCAAAATGGAGGATGAAAGAGACTCTTTAATAACAATGAATGAATACTTCCAGAAAGGAAAATGTGATAACTTTGGGATTTTATACCATC